GACTCTGTTAGTGTGATTGTCTGCCTGTGTGTGTGTGTGTGTGTGTGTGTGTGTGTGCATGTGTGACTGTTTGCCTCTGTGTGTGTGTGTGTGTGTGTGTGTGTGTGTGTGATTGCCTGTGTGTGTGTGTTTGTGTGTGTGCTTGTGTGTGTGACTGCCTGCCTGTGATTGTGGGTGTGTGAGTGACTGTGTGTGTGTGTGTGTGACTGTGATTGTGTGTGTGTGTGACTGTCTGCCTATGTGTGTGTGTATGTGACTGTCTGTGATTGTGTTGTGTGTGTGTGACTGTCTGTGATTGTGTTGTGTGTATGTGTGACTGTCTGCCTGTGTGACTGTCTGCCTGTGACTGTGTGTGTGTGTCACTGTGTGTGTGTGTGTGTGACTGTCTGCCTGTGATTGTGTGTGTGTGTCTGTGACTGTGTTGTGCGCATCTGTGACTGACTGCCTGTGATTGTGTGTGTGACTGTCTGTGAATCTGTGTGTATGTGTGACTGTCTGCCTGTGTGATTGCCTGCATGTTTGACTGTCTGTCTGTAACTGTGTGTGGGACTGTGTGCATCTGACTGTAACGGCACCCTCAGCATCAAATAGTCAAAACCGCCGTTTAGTGAATCCTCCCTTCTCGCAATAATACAAACTCCATTCGTATAGACTCCAATCGTACAAACTGCAAGCAGGGGAATGCGCTAACCTCCCGAACGGGACCTGTACGGATACTCCAAATCTCGAGCGATAAACCCACGAATCACTATATCATCCAAGCGGCTTACGGTTCCAGCAATCAGTCGCTATTCGTGTGTAGTAAATCCCCCCAATAATGAGACCAAGCTCCGCATTGAGGGTAAAACAAGAACTGGGTTTACTGTGGGCTACCCGCCCGTATTTATGCAGGTCTCCCACTTGGTGGACACTCCCCTAGGGGACCAAATGGGAGACTGTAATGGCAGACAGACATTTAGCATGTTAGGACACACAGGCACATAATATTCCCAGCATGCATCATGGTTGAATCAAGTAATTCAATTATCTCCCAGGACAGAGGCAAATCGCCATTTTAGATGAAACATAAAAACCACATAAAAATAAATAATTACACAACTACAGAATATATTCCATTCGTGCAACGTATCCCCAGATAGCCTGGATCTGAGTGCATATTCTTAGCGAATAGCGCTCAGATCCCATACGCACAGTTCAATCGCCATGGAGTCAAAGTCTTTTACAGTCTTTCGGTATGCGATTGACTCCATGGGAAGGCTATCTGGGTTAAGTCCATTCGTGTAGTCCAAACTCCCGAACAGCTGGTGTTCGCATGCCTTTGTCGACTGAGAGTCTGGTTTTAGCGGTGTTCGGCAGAAAAAGTGTCCGTTTTCAGTTCCATAGAATCTGTGCCGAACACCGCTGGTCTTTCGCATGGTTTAAAATGGCCGCCACCTCGTGGTCGACATACGAACGATGACCACCCTGTATTCGGTTATAAATGAGAGGTGTCTGTGGTTAACCACAACGTTCTAATTGGGATCAAGAGGTTAACCAGCAGCACACTTCTCTTCTGGGTGGCCGTCCGTTCGGTAAGTTCATTCGGTAAAAAAGTCAAATAAACGAACAGAGGCATAGAGACAGGTAATTCCACGAAAAGAGGCAAAATAGACGAACCAGCAATCTTAGTCTATACAGATGGATCTGTCACACTGACTGTGTCTGACAGTCTTCGCTCTGCAGTGAGCCGGCAGCCAGGATATGATGTCATTGCGGCCTCTGCATCATTACAGGGCGTGCGATGGACCTGTGCAGGAAGAGCACAGAGATTCCAGCAGCAACCACTGACCACCAGGTACTGAGCATCTACTCCAGCCCTTCTAGAGCAAGGTAGGGAGGCTGGGTGGACCTCTTAATTATTAAATGTGTGTATGTATGTAATGTTTGTGTGTGTATGTGATTGTGTGTCTGTGATTGTATGTGTGTGGGTCTGTGATTGTGCTTGTGTATATATCTCTGTGTATGTGTTTAGTAGATAGCTCCCTTATTTGGTATCCTTAAATATTGCAATCCCACATAAGGATAACAAATAAGGGATTTATCTACTAAACAAATGAATATAAGAAAAGAGCTTTTTTAATCTTGATCCTTTAGCTGTTTAGTAGATAGTTCCCTGATTTGGTGCCCGTGTATGAGATTTCCATATTTAAAGATACCAAATGAGGGTGCTGTTTAGCAGATATCTCTTTTATTTGGTGTCCTTAAATATGTCAATCCCACATAAGGATAGCAAATAGAGGAGTTATCTGCCATACAAAGATCGAAATTAAGAGGTGTCAGCCAGCCCACAACAAGAAATCTGGGTGGCTAATGTGAATTATATGCAAATGTGTAGTCAGATGCCAGCATGTAGAACACAGCATGCTGGCATCAGACAGCCAATGGCAGCATATTAACCCATCCCCTAGTGAAACGTTTTACTGCTCCCCCTCCCGTTTTGACTATGTTATCTTATGTGCCCCCCCATATATATTGTTCCTAGAGTCGCCACGATGTCTGCATGTGTGTAAATGTGTATCTGTGTGTGACTGTGTTTGTGTGTATATGTATCTGCATGTGTGTATGTCTGTTTATGTGTATATGTGCAGACTTTTAAAAATCTCGCCAACACTACACACAAATACACTCATGCATTTCAACGTCAACACTACATACAAACCCCACCATTATATATAACCATACCACTACATTCAAATACCACACAACACACAAATGCATGCTTGCATTCAAATGCCAACCCTACATACAAACACACCACTACATTCACTCACATATACTCCATAAAAAAACATGCATGCATTCAAACACACAAACACTGCTCAGTGCTAAATACATTAAAAAAAATTTATTTATTTTTTTTATATTTAAAGTTGAGGGGGGCAGAGGGGGTGCCAAAAATAGGACCCGCCCCACGTGCCAAATGCTCTAGGTACGCCCCTGATCCCTAGGACAGACTTGGTCAGTTTTTGATCATCATAAATTTTCTTTTTAGCTTCAGTATACGGCCCTGTGCAAAGGTGTCCCCCTGAACAATCCCATTTTAAGTGACCAGGGGAGAACCCAAGAGGTAACAAGTATAGTTTGCCAATTTCCCTCCATTCTGCAGGTTTGGGCAAACACATATTATCTCCTCCTACCTCAATCTCAGGTATGGGCAATTTGACAATTTTTTTTGTTTTTACATTTTCTCCTAAATTTTTCATTTTATTTTTAATTTTTCCTTTTTCATATACTGTGATTTTGCCTTTTTCTGTCAGTTTGGGCATGCCATCCAGATACATTAATGAATTGCCTTTCTCCTCATTAGGAATCCTTTCATCAAGTTCCCTGACTGTCCTGTAGGGTTTTTTTTTACCATTTTTGCGGCATATTTGCTGCATTTTGGTTCCTTTTCCCTTTTTTTCTGAGCACTTCTGGCGCCATTTTTCTGCGTTCAAGGCTCGTGACAGCGCATGCACAAGTTTGTAAGCGCATCATTCCGTTGTGTGTGTCTGTTGCTGTCACGCATGCGTGCGGTGCTTGCTTTTGCACATGCGCGCAGTGGCGATTTTCCGCACAGGCGCGCAGCGGCAGCTTTTGCGCATGCCTAATAGCCTTTTTATTCAGGTTTTCAATGACCAGTCTTGTAAGGCTCTGGGCACTGTATTAAAATCACAGTACTACCTGAAACAGCATTGTACAGATTCCACAATGGTGAGCACACAGGATGCAGGCATGGCATATTACACTGGCACAACACATTGCACAGCATGGTATGCGCACAAGATGCAGCACATTGCACAGTATACGAAGTATAACACTGTAACTACTACGAGTCGATAAGGTTTTTGCAATGTACAAATTAAGGTTTGAGCCTCAAGTTTAGCAAGCCTTTTGGCCTTACAAAGTAAAGTTGCAGAATTATATTACTGTTATTTTATGAGAATTGATGCTGTCAGTTTGCTCTAAGTTTCTACTGAGAGTGCTAAAAGCCTTGGCAGTAATTCAAGTATCTGGAAGGATTTTTATTCTCTGTTGCGTCATCATTTACTGGTTGAGTAATTCTAAGGGCATTTTTTGCCACTTACGGTATATATCACTATTATTTTTCATATAATATTACATCAATTACAGGCATGGAAGCAGATTTTTAAGCCTCTAATATAAGGTCACGCTCTAAGAGCAATAGGTAAGCCATTCCTCATTTTTTCAGTTTTTTATTTTATTTTTCCTCAAACAGAGAGCAGGTAAGCAGTTGTTCCCCATCATGATAAGTTTATGGGGGAAAAGCTGCTGGATCATCTAACAGGAAGTCCCACAGAAGGATCCTTTACAAGATAGGTGTTTAGATTTCACTAGAAAAGAAGTGTCTTGAGCAGCCGGTCTGGAAGCAGCAGAAATGCCATCTTTCCCAGAAATAAGTGGCATTTTTGGCCGAGGCCTCCATCCATAAGAGTCGTCTCCTCTGTTAAAGCTCTCAGGATGTCTACCTTTTGATCTTGAATACTAAAGGAATGTCATTGTGATAAGTATTTTATCATCTTTCCTACTGATAACAAGTAGCCAAGGAGTCTTTATGGGAAAGAGTTTGGTTTATTCATCCTGTTATCTATGCATTAGTTGCACAGGCTTTCATCCGGGCCTATGTATCTAGGGCCCTAATATTGTATGGCGCTACAATGGAATACAGGCCCAAGAAAGAAGGAAGAACCGATCAATCTTCCATCAAAGGTAGAAGGTCCAGAGGTACTCCAGCTAGCACAAATTCCATATCCATAGCTCAGGATTAGTCTCCAGCCTAGCAGAAGGAATTGGTGCGGGGCATAGGAGAATATCCTTGGAAACCACATAAAATAAGCATTGTTGTCAAAGGAAAGGAACATATTTGCCTAGTTCTCCATCTGCTGGGTTATAGCAGTCAGGCAACCTTATCTGGTATACATATGAAGAAAGATCAGTTGCAGATAAAAGGCAAGGTTTAGGGGATCTCGGTGTCTCTTCTTGAGTGCCTTACGCCCTGAGTGCGTACATGGTCTGGAGATGGTAATTACTGGATTCAGAATTCTTTGGCAGTCTTTCTCAGCCAATCGGAAAAGGATTCAGGAGTGGTGTGCCCATCAGACAAAGTCTTTCAGATAACCATGGGAAATGAGTCATTTCCCAAATAGAGGCTATAGCATATCGCAAGTATAACCTATTTATTAGAAGTGTAAATTCTTGCATTATTATTTGGAGTCTGTATTTCTTCTACCACCCTTGGTTATTGCTTGGGTATTACCCATTGTTGTGTGCCATGGATATGGCCAAGAAAACAGAAAATTTGTTCATACATAATTTTCATTTCTTGGTCATAGGCCATGGCAGCACATAGATCCCGCCCTGGAATATTGCTGGAAACAAGACTGAGGATGGAAGGGACAGGAAGGGGTATTTACATCGTCTTTTTTAATAGGTTCCTGTCTAATTAGGGATGGGGAGGAGCTACCCATTGTTGTGCTGCCATGGCCTATGACCAGTAAAAGAAAATTACAGTACGTATGAACACATTTTCTGTTATATATTCATATATATATTGTATATCGTATTTTTTTGTAACAATGCAGTGTTTGTGGGCCCAGTACATATTTGAAAACGAGAGAAATCTCAATGTATCCATCCTAGTAAAATATTTTACAAATAAATAAAATAAAATGAAAATAAAATAAATTAAATGATAAAGTTTCAAAGGCCACAGAAAGGATGCTAGAATTCTGCTACCCAAAGCTCAGCTCTCATGTAACTTCCCTAGTCACCAGGGACACAAGTTATGCAAATACCCAGACTGCAAATGGACGTTAGCAGCACCCGCACCCACAGCCAGATTAAGGTTGCCAAGGGCCTTAGGCAGAATGCCAGATTGGAGCCCCCTCCTGGAGCCCTGTACTCTGTTTCTGTGAGTGCTGTGTATGCATGAAGGATAATGAGAGCTGTATGTGGGGGAGATTGAGTGCTGGTTGAGTGTTGTGTGTGGTTGATAACGATTTTGTGAAGGAGTCTGAATGTGTATTCGTGTGTGTTGGGGGGAATCTGAGTGTGGCTGAATGTTGTGTGGGTAGTGTCTGGATGTATTGGGGAAGTTGCCCCCCTCGTGTTTACCTTTTGGCAGGAGGGGGTATAATCCCTAAGAGCTTTATGGGTTCCCTCATGGTCTGACATTCAAGCAATGGCTTAGAGTGCTGGCTGCAAGATTCTGAGTCATTGTGTAGAGTCAGGGGAATACGAGGGAGCTCTTGGGTGATCTGCACCCAGTAGAGGTACATAGTATGACAATCCCTTTGAGGTGTTGATAGAGCACAGGGCTGAGCACTTTTTATCTTCCTGCCGGCTCATGCAGGGTACCCTCAGGAACTCTGTCTGAGCCCAGGGCCCTAGACAGCCACCTTATAGGTAATCCATGATTTGGTAGAACCAAGTCAATGGATGGATAAATAAATTAGTGAAAGTATATATGTGCTTGGATGTGTGTGTTAGTGTAAGTGTAAATTGTATTGTTGAATATATATAATTGCATACTCAGCTAACTCTGCTGTCCTTTAAGATAACTCCCTCATACCCACCCTTGAAAAATATTTCTACGTGAATCAAAGCTAATCCTTTGTTTTGACACATGTGTAGTGTAGAGAGACGTTGGTAAATTTCTGCGTCAGTCCATCAGATGACCCAAATACTTGCCTTTGATAGGTAATCTGGAATTTTCATCAGGGTCCCTGCACTCTGTGTTTGAAATGGAAACAAAATTGGATAAATGCTATTGAACAAGGTATTGACTGAACAACAAACACATTCTTTACTTCAATGAGTTAAACAAAGTATGAAAGCGTGAGGCTATTTTTATCATTGTCATCTCGCAGTCATAAAAGTATTTAAAAAGTGAATTGCCTTTCATTAAAGACGACTTTCACCTCTAATAAAAATCAACAGTGCATAAACTGTATTAATTATTGAGATATATACTATAACACACAAATAAAATGTGTACAAAAAAGTGATCTGCACATTCACACTATGTATACTTTGTCACATCTTTCAAGACTACTTAAAGGAAGACTCCACTTCAAAAACGAGAGAGGGGTCACTATTTAAAAAATTTTTTGATGCATGTTGTCATTGGGGGTATTTCTAAAATGAGCTTGAAAAAGATGCAGTTCTTATGACCGCAGCCTTTGCAAACCCTCCCGTTTTTCGTCGAAATTGACCTTCATGTTTTACTATAAAGCTGACTTTCCCAGCAACATTTTCCCAGCAATGAGCAAAAAAATGACCTGCAATACAGATATTAGTATTTAAGAGTGTAAGCACCAGAACATTTAGTGTAAAGGATACCTGTGGTACTCACTGGAAATGGATTCCTCATGCAGTTTCATCTAAACGTGTTTGCGAAATTGCTAGCAAAAGTATAGATTTGTGCAATATTTAATTTAAAAAATGTGTTCCTTCTCCTTCCTGGCAGACAGACTATCAGCATAGACTTTATTCCAGTGTCTGTCTGCAAGAAAGCCTGTCTACTGGCTTATTGCTCACCTAGCTTCATTAAATTTAAGCGATCAAGTTTTTTGTACATTTCCTCCCTCCACCACCCAGGACGGCAAAAAAATGGAGTAACATCTGATATCACTCCATTCAATGGGCTGATTTGTTGGCATTGAAACCAGAGCCTTAGTGTCATCAGGTGGGGCTGTGCCAGGCTTAGGAAAGAAAGGCAGGACAAAGAAAAGCCTTAACACCCATGATGATTGGCTTAAGGCGGCTCTGGAACTGTTGGGAAGGAGGCGAGTATGCTTGAAAACTAAATGAAGTTTCATAAGGTAAGTAAAAAAACCAACAATACTTTTTTTGTCAATTTGAAAGCTTTCAAATTTCAAAGCTTTATGACTATAGATTAATGTAGTTGTCCTGGTGAGTATAATCATTGCCTTCAGGCATTTTAATGCAAACTATGCCATTTCATAGAAAAGGCAGTGTTTACATTGCCCCTAGGGACACCTCCAAGTGGCCACTCCTCAGATGGCCACTGGAGGTGCTTCCTGGCTCAGTGATGCACAGTAGGCAGCACTGCCATTCAGCATCTCCAAGCTCTGCATGGGGATGCTGAATTTTCCTCATGGAAATGCATTGATTCAATGCATCTCTATGAGGAAGTGCTGTTTCGACAAAACTGCGTCTGGTCCCACCCCCTTGCTGATTGTAGCCAATCCAATGCTTTCCCTGTGGGAAAGCATTGGATTGGATAAAAAGCGGCAATGTTGATGATGTCATCAAGGAGGCAGATCAGGGGCGGGGCCAGTGCCGGCAGACCCGTGCGGCATTGGAAATAAGGTATGTTTTATTAACTTTTAAGGGGGCTAAGGGTGGGCAAGCCACCTAATTGGTGGGTTTAACACTATAGGTTTAGGAATACATGTTTGTGTTCATGACCCTTTAGTGTTCTTTTAAGTAGAGTTGAATTTTAACCAACAAGTTCACTTTAATACTATTAGTTATTCCATCAATCAAAAGACTTTTATTAATATTATTACATGAATATTCTGTTCTTATTTGCTGGAAGTTGCAGGGAAATAAATGCTAGTGCTTCTAGTGCAAAAACAAATTTGTGGGGGATTGTATGGGTATTTAATCATACTCAATGACAATACATCCAAAGGGCGTTCACTAAAATGTCAATTGTCCAAAATACAAAGTGACTCAAATCCAAGACATGTCCAAGACAGCTATCTGGCCTAAAATCTGATTGACAACAAGCCACACTTTAGTAAAAACCCATATGTGTATAAAGTCCATTGCTTAGTTAAAATATGCTCCAAAAGACTTACGGGGAAGTGCTGACCTATTCCCTCAAAAAGCAACATCAGTGGATACAACTGCGTCCTGACTTTACAGCTGCTGCATCTGACCATGCAGGAGGCTCAGGAGAGTCCCACGGAGATCCAGTGCCTGGACTGCATTGAGCAGGCTGGCCACCACCTTGGCAACTCGGCACGGGATTCAGTGGAGCCACAAGTATATCGCGGTCCCAAGTGCCAGATCGAGTTCAGCACACAGCATCCCCACAAACTCGACAGACCCACTTACTCCTAACAGAAGGTAGGCCTTATCTCCCTTATCTCCACATTTATTTCTGCAAACAGCAAGCCACTCAACACATGGCAATTACAGCCACAGGGCCTCAGATCCCAGCACTCACCACGATTCAACACAAAAGGAATTAACAGCAGAAAGAAATTGAACTCATACAGCTTAACTCCTAAACACCAATGTCAACACCAACTCCATACCAAGGGCTTAACCTACTATGCTGGAATATAGACGATCTCAACACCCCAATTAAATACAAGTTAATCTTGTCCCAACATCGTAAATACCAAGTGGCATTTCTCCAGGAAACACAGTGAAAAAAACTTACACATCTACCCTTAAGAGAAGATGGATAGATACATGTGTTTCTGCCCTCTTTGCTCAAACTCAAGAATGGAAGCCATATTACTAAACAAATCAATTACTCCAATCATTCATAAACACATGTTGGACCCAAAATTAATGTTTCTTATACTAGATATCACTCTAGCTAAGGTTTGCTATACTCTGGTCAATATATACGACCAAATAACTCAAATGCCCCCTTCTTTATGACTAGCATGCAACTGATTTCTTTTGTAGATTCCAAACTAATTGTGGAAGGCAACTTCCACGCTGTGTTGAATGGTTGGAATGATAGGTCTGCCTCTGCTTCATCATCCCACTCCCAGGAGGATTTGTGTTCATCTCCAATGACGCCTCTACCTTACAAATATATGGAGGATACAAAATATTGAGGTAAGGAATTATACAAACACATCTAATGCTCACTACACCTCATCCAGAATCTATTTATTTTGAGTCTCCCCTGAGCTGGTACATAAAGTAACACAAGCTGTCATACACAACATTTTAATCTCAGACCAAACTCCAATTGACTTGAGTCTGAATATAGGTCCATCCATTCCGTTCACCCCACAATGGCGATTTCACAACACGACTCATTTGAGAGGGATAACAACTTGGCCCATGTAAATAACACAATACTATTCTGGCAGTGATGAGATGCCAGATCATAGCATATGTTTATAAGTGTAAAAAACAATGGAATCAGAAATACAACAAACCTAATATGGACTTGGCAAACGTTCATCTAGCATACAAATCAGAACCAACTGATTCAATAAAAGAAACAAACCGCCACTCCCTGGTCTTGAACAGCTCCTTGGCAGGGCCTGTCTGGATGGAACTACTGACGATGTGCAACAATGTACCATTGTCTCCCCCAACTCTTCACCAGCAATTGGGCACCAGTCCCACATACCTCAGTCTGGAACTGCAGCTGACCAAAGAGATATCAGAGCTTTGCTTTAATGGCACGTATCAGTCAAGATAGTGGCTGTGGAATGCCCAGTCCTTCCAGCAACCCATCACTCACCAGCTCAGGTCTCTTCACATGAGCAGGCTGCACAGGGTTGCATCCAATCCTCGACCAAATGCATTATTGGAGGTTCTGCCCCTGCAACAAAGCAGGACCTGCATAATATGATACAGGAAATTCAAAAGGTACAGCTAGTAGACCTGACTAATGTCAAAACGGACATGCAACATTACACAGAGAGTGTGAGGATCACGTAGGAGGATGACGTGTCCACATTGAAAGATAACATGCTCCAGCTGCAAGCTACTCAGCAGGCTCAGGAGCTGAAGCACTTACTCTACTCTTCGCTGTAGACCTCATGGACTTGACCCATGTCACATCTGTACTACAACCCACTAACCAAACATGGGATCAAGCAAACATGATAGTGTTTGTGCCAAGAGCCAAACAGGAGTATACATTGGTTCCCTGACAGACATTGTTAAAAGAGATACCCTTTCAAGTTTGGTTGGATGTTGCACAGATTCTTAATGTTTAAACTTTTGTTTTTCTACCTTTTAGTTCTCTCCCTCCTCCCTCTCCTTGGTTAGGTGTACTCTCTAACCTGAGTAATCTACAATACTCTTATGTCCACCACGCCTTCTACTGAAGGAATTGCAATGAGTTTAAGCAGATCTGCAATTACTCCATAGATTACGCACTCACACAACCAACCACCTCAACCTACGCAATTTGCTCACTCTACTCACAAATTAGACTTGACTTGAATTACACAACTACACAATTGGGTTATGAAGAAGTATAACGCATTTCGCAACAATGACCCATGAAACACTCATAACAACCGTAAAGCTGATTAAACTACTCCCAGTGGCTACCTATCAAGAAATGCACTTGACAATTGTGCACTATGTGTATTATTCACCCTAAAAACTATTTCCCCTAAAACTCAGAGACTTTGCAAACTGTCTAAAAAATGGGATGGACGGAGCAAATTCAGGAAACAGGTAGAAAATTTTATAAAACAACTAATATGTCAAGCCAATTGTATGTCCCCATTATTGGCACTACAACAACAAACTCAAACCACACCACAAAACTAATCCATATGATCCATATACTGCGGCACCTAAAAGCAAACTGCGCAATTGGATAGATACGCCCCCCACTCCCACTATAATTACTGCGCACAGAAGTCTCCTTCCTATGGACCTATGAACCTCCTTAAATAAAGGTGTCTTAACAAAGAAATTCTATTTGAACCCAGCAGCCATACATTAGACTGAACTACCCAATCCAAAATTAAATCCACTTTTGAATTTACAAACTGGTATTTGACCAGAGTCATAGTGGGACCACCCCCACAATAAGGTAAACTTCCCAAAAAGAGATACCTCTAGCTAGTCGTCTCTCACATTAAAGGGACACTATAGTCGCCTGAACAACTACAGCTTAACCCCTTCAGGACACAACTTCTGGAATAAAAGGGAACCGTGACGGAATATTTCCGTCATGTGTCCTTAAGGGGTTAATGTAGTTGTTCAGGTGAGATCTATAGCTCCCTGCAGGCAATCTAATGTAAACACTGTATTTTCAGCGAAAATACAGTGTTTACATTGATTGATAGGAATACCTCCAGTGGCCATCATTCAGACGGCCACCATCAGTATTACTAGGCATATTCTTAAAGGAACACTGTACTGTTAGGGATACAAACATGTATGCATAACACTATAACGCTGAAGTACCTGTTTAGGCCACCAGCCCCTCTCAGATTGAGGAGTTAAAAAACAGTTTACTTATCTTTTCTCCATTGCCGCTCTGGTCTCGCCCCGCCTCCATGACTGAGATCATCAATCTTGACGATCTCAGCCAATTCATTTATTTCCAATAGGAAAGCATTGGGGGGCTATTGTGCATGCGTGGCAAAACACCGCACTGCGCCAATCAGTATCTCCTCATAGAGCCAGGGCCGTCTATAATATGATTAGGACCCTGGGCAATGCATTTTCTTGGGCCCCATGGGCCCTGTCCCTGCCACTGCCTCACCCCCCAATTACGTCCAACCCGCAATCACACTGACAGACGTACTGGCACATACACACACAGACAGACATTAAAACATTCACAGATACATACTGACACACAAAGTCACTACACACAAATATATACTGGCAGACATACTGACACACACACAGACATACATACATACACAGACACATACATTAACAGATATACTGACACACACACAAACACATACACTGACAGATATACTAAAACACATAGACACATACACTGACAGACACATTGACACACACACACACAGGCAGGCATACTGACATATACACACAGGCATACTGACATATACACAGACAGACGTAATGGCTGATACAGACAGACATTAAACATTCACAGATATATACTGACACACACATACACTGACATACAAATATATCCTGGCAGACATACTGACACACAGACATACATACATACACACACAGACACATACACTGACAGACATACTGACTGACACACACACACAGACATACATACATACACACAGACACATACACTGACAGACATACTGACTGACACACACACACACACACAGACATACTGACACACACACACAGACATACTGGCATACACACAGACATACTGGCATACACACACAGACAAACTGACACACACACACACAGACATACTGGCATACACACACACAGACATACTGACACACACACAGACACACACACTGACATACACACAGACATACTGACACACACACAGACACACACACTGACATACACACACAGACATACTGACACACACACTGACACACACTCACAGACATACACACACACACACAGACCTACTGACATACATTTAGCCACCCTCCAGGTTCTTACCTTTTCCTGGAGGGTGGTTTCCCTGGTCCAGTGGCAGGCTGAGGCAGATGGGAGTTCTCCTCTGGAACTCCCCTCCTCCCTGCCTTCCTCCTCCCGCGCGGCTATCTCCGGTGGGAGGAAGTGACGTCACTTCCTCCCAGCCGGCTGCAGAACCGGAAGAGGGGCCCGGTCGCGCTGTTTAAGCGCCACAGCGCCCGACCGGGTCCCTGCTGACACATGCTCCCCGGGTGGCCCTTAGTGCATGGGCCACCCGGGGAGCCTCCTCAGTGTGCGGGAGCCGCACCGCAGGGGCTGCGCAAATCGCGGGGCCCACAGAGCAGCTGCTCTGGGCCCCCAGGAGCAACTGGGCCCGGGGCAGCTGCCCCGTTTGCCCCGCGTTAAAGACGGCCCTGCATAGAGCTGCACCTTAGTGACTGCACCTAGAGGTGTTACTAGGCAGCAATGTAAACGCTGCCTTTTCTCTGATCAATATATACTACCAAATAACTCAAATGCCCCCTTCTTTATGAATAGCATGCAACTGATTTATTTTGTAGAAAGGCTGCGTTTACATTGCTGAGCCTGCAGGTACATGCAATACACACTACATTAAGCTGTAGTGGTTCTGGTGACTGTAGTGTACCTTTTAAATATATTTTGTGATGAGCAATTTATAAAATCTTAATACAACATAATAAACAATAAAATAATATATAGATGGGTGTAATCTGACAATAAAAATATAGAGAACCTAAGATGGCTGCCGACATCCCTGTGACGGAGCCCCTGACAGAGGCAAAGCGGCAACAGTGGGAAGACGTTTTTAGAAGCATCTGTGATTTCTTCTGGCGCAGACTAGAGGATAAGGCTCATCATTCCTCCTTACCTGCAATACAGCTGGATCCTGGTTCCGCTGAGGCCCTTCGCTCCCCTCCTGGGTTGGAGACCAAAGGGAAGATTATCTCTACACATAGTCCATATTCCTGGGGATAGCTCTGCAAACAGGGACTGTCTGGGGGCTAACCTGTGCATGAGGTGTGGGGGCAATTAGACATTTTGTGTGGTTTAAGAAAAAGGCCTAGGGCTGAGAGTTGCAGGTATGAATAACTAAAGCCCCATGACAGGCACTTTGAGCTATACCAAGTTGTCAATTCTCCATCTTCTCTTAATTAATATTCTTGTTAGCCCTATATCTTGTACACTTATCACCCAGTGGTAGCTAGATACGTGTCATGCATCACTGGTGGCTACATTTCAGAGCCATAAATAGATTTTAGAGCGTTATTTTCTTTTATTTGTAAAAATGTGTAGTCACTCGTTACTTATTTTTAGTTAAAAATGTGCAGCATAATGCCTGACTCTAACTCAGCAAATATCTTATTTATCTACTTTGAGATATCGCTTTTCTATGTATATTTGGTATATTTGATGTAATATTGCCTAATATCCTACTATATGTCGATATCTGTGGAGCCAATCTGCTTATTTTTAGTTCACAATGTGAATCCTATTGACTGAATGTATCTCTGCAAGAATCTTACTGCCCTACTTTGAGATCTCAGTCTATATTTGATGTAATATTGTCTACTGTAGATATCTGTGGTACCAATCTATGCATGTATTATTTTTTATTGTAACACTGCAAAAAAAGAGAGAGGATACAATTTGGACCCAACATGCAGGTTAAAATATACCACTTGACTAAATGATAGTATTAAACTTTAAAGCAACAGGAGACAGGCAAGGAAGCTCTAAACTTAGGATCCACAGGAAAACCAGAACTGCAAAAAGCAAGTCAGGACAAGCGCTCAACAAAGGATAGGGAAACATTTTTATTGGCACCTTGAACACCAGAAGGGGAAATCAGACAAATACGTTTTCAGTCTCAAGGAAGTGGGGTATACATTACCTAGAACTTAACTCATTCACGACTGTGTTCATATATTAATTGTGTTTCAGGGATACAAAGAAAATGTCATTCTGAAAAAAAAAAAAAAAACATGACCATTTTTATTTTCAATGTTTGCAATGCCTATGAACATCAGAAAGTAACGTAAACAATAATTTGGACATGTTCACACTGGAAATACGATCAACATTCAATATTGCTGGTGTCTTATTGCACTGAGTTTGTAAATTGTTTAGTACAAGCATAAAAAAAAGAATGCAATGTAAGGAGGAAAGGTCAAACGGAGTGAGAGAGTTTTATATATATTTATATATATATATATATATATATATATATATATATATACAAATTTATAAATATATATATATGATATATTTACAATTGGCTAAATATAAAGCATAAAGCTTGCCTATTGCAGTTTTGGAGAATACATTTAAAGCCCTTATACACTAAGTATAGTCATGCTTTGCAGCAAAGAAGCTCTGTAGTTTAACCAGAACCATCTTCCTGGCTACTAGACTACATCCATGTTACTCCAAAGAATAAAAAAAAAAATTGCAAAATTTAGGCAAATTTATATAGAAAGTTGAAAAAGTATTCCAATAATGCAGTTTTGGAATAAAATGTTCAATTCCGTTATGAATTCTCCATAATTCCTGGTTGCGTGAATAAACTTAACCGTACAATGCAAATTCCAGAAAACTGTACCATAAGTTCTCTCGGAGTGAAAGCGCTGGCAACTCTTGAGTTCAAGTTATTGTTCCCACTAAACCAGTGTGCAAAATTACACTGTAACCAGATCTAACTTTTGTAAAACATAAATAAATTAAGATGTGATTTAAGCTGTGGCTATTTTAAAGAATCAATTCTCATATAACCTGCTATTATAAGTTTACCAAAAGCCAAAGCAATGTTCAGAAAGGCATACCTACCTTTTCAAAATTTCAAAACAATCTGAATGTCGGCAAGATGTGAATGCATTGCTCACATACCTGACAATTAACACATTAGGTTCTATTCATTATTGACCAAATAAAAGGTTTCCAATTTTATATAAGTGGTGTAACTGGAAAACTTTCTTGTACAAAAGGTATGATGATACCAAGCACCAAGTTGTTACCAAGTTATGGAAGTGACCTACAAGCTATCTATACTTGGAATTGTTTTTGTTTTTTTTAAGTTTGAAGATGGGACCAATGGATCAGAGTTGTTGCATTTTTTTATCGAGAAGATATCACACACCAAATTTGGGCAACCTAGAATCGTGGACCCAGTCAAGTCCATTAAATAACACAATGGTAGTGTGAGTAAATATGGTTTGCCCTTGATTTAGGTTTCTAAAAAGTCCCCATTTAATTCAACTGGGACACAACTGTTTGAGCAATTAAAACAAAAAGTTTTACCCAGATGTTTTTGAGTTGCCCCACCTTACCCACAAGATTTTGTTTTTTTTCCCTAACTTTGATCAGAAAACCCAATGCTTCACAAGTCACTCCCTAAATGAGCAGTAAAAGAAACGCCCAAAACATGCTTAACGGAATAACCCTACGAAAATATAATAAGGTTAAATGCTCAGACAATGGGGTTACATTGAGGCATGGCTGTGAAATAAAGATGGTTATGTAATGAACAATTGCAGGATGCATAAATGCAGTAGCAGTGATGGTTTGCAGGGTGCTGTGTGATGGTGATGGTTGCAGACTTGGGTACATGGTGCTCCACAGCTCTGTGGAAGAAGAGATGCAGCTCTGCAGGGAAGATGATGCATGATGTTCTGCGAGTCTCTGGTAGGAAGATGGTGCATGGTGCTCTGCAGGGAGGATGATGCACTGCAGGGTTACTCTGACAATGGAAAACACTGAACAATCAGCCCAGGAATAACTGTCAGTGAGGAGCGCGCAAAAGCACCACGTCCATTGAAAAAAGCCAGAAAAGCTCCAGTCTGATCAGGAGACAGATTAATGGAGCGTCCCGAGCGCTGGGACCAAACGAAGGGGTTTCTGTGGCCCAATGATGTCACAGCACTGAAAGGGAGGGATGGATCTGCATCCCTATGAACATCCGGAGCCGGCAAGTCATCCAGCTCCTGTATCCATGGCAACAAGAGGCGGATACCTCTTCCCCCTTCGGCCCCCCTTCTTCTTCTCTATCCTTCGCTCACTGCCTCCCCCCCCTCCCTATCATGTAGAAGATGGCTGGTCCCTTTTTGCTGGAGTGGCCTGGAAGGAAAAATCAGACAGGTTTCCCTACCGCACGACTTCTCACTGCCCACGCCACTGCTTTTCCCTGCTGGGTCACTGCTAAAACCCAGGAGCTGAAGAGGTAAGGCTGGCATCAATCTATGCATTGCTCTTGCCATACCTGGAGGGGTCAGGAGGGACAGACTGCTTTTGTCCGTGCATTTTATGCAAACCCTTCACTGCCACAATGTCTCTCTTTCCATTTCATCCCAAATCTCCTTTTCCATTTCCTTACTGCTTACATTCCTATAATAGATACGCCTGTCCTCCTATCACTCCTTGCTAGCTCTCCATATCACCATTATCTCCCCTCCCCCATTTGTCTCTCTATCCTTTCTTCTTTCTCCCTGCTTAATCTCCCCTTCTCGCTTTATATCTACTTTAAAATTCACTTCATTCATTCCCCCCCCCCCCCCTAATATTTTGTAGTACCACCACCCTGTAGGGAGCCAGAGACTCTGGGGGGGGGCAGAAGGGGGGAAGTATGAAACACCATTTCACTTGCCTTCCTGTAAGCCCATATTTGATTAAGGCTAATGGTTTATTCACATCATTGTCTATCAACCCTAATTTCTGCTGAAACTGATGGTTAGGCATGTCTCTTCCAAAAGAGTAAGGACCATTACAGTTTACAGGTAGCTCTGGCAGTGAAAGGGTTAAAGGCATGAGCTAACCAAGAACATAGAATGTTGTAACACATGTATGTATCCCCAATCTTTACAATGAACTCATTTGAAATGTATCCTTCCAAGGGTGCTGTCATTGCTTTGTACCACATCACTGTCATTTTCACCCATGTTTTGCAGCAAAAAGAAGCCTAGTTTGGGCTAATATTCACTTGCACCATTCACTTTCATTGTGTGGCTGCTTCCCTACTATAAACGTGAAAGAAGGGTTCTTTCTGTGTGTGCAAGGCCGATGGCCATTTATCAGACACTAATCTCTCTGGGGGGACTCTTTCACCTCACATGGACTGTATATGATAGGAAAGTGTCAGTGACAGCCAGGCTGCGTGTGCCAGGCCCCACTGGGCAGGCTGCAGGGTGACAGAGAGCTACATCTAGGATAAAGCAGCGGCCTGGTTATTGTCACGCATAATAGAGAGGGGGAGGGTGGCCAAACAGAGACAGAGGAGGAGGGAGAAACATGGGAGGTCAGATACAGCACAATGATCACTGATTCTGTTTTACCTATTATTATTTAATATTTTATTATTTATAAAGCGACAGCAAATTCCGTAGCGCTGTACAATGGGTGGACTAATAGACATGTAATTGTAACCAGACAAATGGACGCACAGGAACAGAGGGGTCGAGAGCCCTGCTCAATGAGCTTACATGCTAGAGGATCTCTCCCCCACCTCTCAGTCTCATATCATGTATTAATTAATACAAATTTTCATTCCAGGGAGCATGGGGGATCTGTCCCTCAGGCTGTTAGTATAGATTGGTTTGTGAGCTGATGTCTCACAGCACAATACTACATATATTATGGTAGTAAATTATTGTATTGCAGTAATTGCAGTATCAGTATAAAAAATACTCAATATAAAATTAAGAAAGGGAGTAAAGTGTGACGTGACCATTCCACAATCTGAATTCATCTAGTCACTTTTTCTTTAGCAGACCAGACATTCCTTAAATCCCATTACAAGCTCCATGCATTTCTTGTTTGATAATTTTTAACTCAATTGTGGTCTCGATTTTGGTTCTTATTTTCTTTTGCAAGCAAACGCCACGAGTCTTTCTGCCGAATTCTGCGCCAAAAACATAAGTTAACCCTAATAAGTGTGGGTCACTTATAACAACAACAAAAAAATAATACAAAACCTGCTTACAGAGAAAGAGTTATATTTAATGCAGCCGTTTTAAAGAGAAAGTCTGGTCACCATAAGTCACAGAGTTGTGGTTCCAGTGTGGCAGTCTCTATGTGGTACAGACAAGTACTGCATGTGAGACTGGTTCAGCTTACTGCCCAGAGTCCCATATAAATATTGTGATTATTATTTTATTATTTATATAGCGCCAGCAAATTCCGTAGCGCTGTACAATGAATGATGGGGGCCCTGTGTCTTGCTGTCATCATCCGTTGGAAAGTATAACTTTACAAACAAGGTATATGTATAAGGGAGGCAAACCCACAAGAGCAAAAGATACAGTGCTACTCATGAGTGCCCCTTTTTAATGGTGTGTTTTGGTTATAAGTAGGTTGTTTAGAGCAGGACTGGCACAAAAGGTAGATCCCCTGATGTTTTAAAACTACTATAACTCCCATGAAGCTTTGGCATTCTAAAGGTATGCAAAGCATCATGGAAGTTATATTTCTAAACCATCTGGGGATCTACCTGTTGGGCACCCCTGGATTAGAGGGTACTAATTGTTAGGATAACCCATGTTGAGCGCTATGGAACCTTACACGTTTGTTAGGAATTATACCTACAACACTCCATAGACTATAGATCAGGATGCCATCACAGATATGAGTGATTGCAATTAAAGGATCACTATAGTGTCAGGAAAACAAAACGGTTTTCCTGACACTATAGTGCCCTGAGGGTGCCACCACCCTCAGGGTCCCCCTCCCGTGGCGATGAAGGTGTTAAAACCCCTTCAGTTACTTACTTTAATCCAGCACCAGGCTTCCTCGGCACTGGTGACTTCTCCTCCCCCTCCAACGTCTGCTCCCTCTAACGACGTCAGCGGAGCCGAATGCGCATGCGCGGCAAGTGCCGAGCGCGCATTCAAAGTGTCCATAGGAAAGCATTTCTCAATGCTTTCCTACGGACGCTGTGCGCGATGGAGGCAAAATGTGCCCCCAGCGTCGCAGATGCGCCTCTAGTGGCTGTCTGGAGCTCTGAAACTGCTATGTTTGCATCTCAAGGGTTAAAACCTGTGGGACCTGGGACCCAGACCACTTCATTGAGCTGTAGTGGTCTGGGTGACTATAGTGTCCCTTTAAAGTCCACAGCAAATCCAATGCCCACTCTTGGTCTAATAACAATTAACAGGACTTAGACCACTATATATCTGTGTACTGACAGCACATGGTTACAGCTGTACGATGTGTGACACTATGACTGCACTACATTTAGTGGCAAATTAAAGTAGGGCTACTTCTACATCACTGTAACAACACTATTTTAAACTGTATATGTTGCTAAAGATACTTTAACACTGACTGAGATTATTCCTGGACACTAGCAGTCACAGACTCTGTAACTTTAAATGTTATGTATTAAAGGGACACTATAGTGTCAGGAATATAGTGTATCAGAGCAGTGAAAAAATGTTTCAATTCACCTTCTCTCTCATATATAGTGAAAGAAATTTACAAACCTCAGATTTTTTTTTGATTTTTTTTTAATTTGTGAAATAGTTTGAGAATATCAATGTCATGTAACATCTTCTGTAATGTGTTAGCCTACTTCTAGGTCAGTGATGGCGAACCTTTTTGAGCCCGAGTGCCCAAACCGCAATACATGCCAACTTTTTTTCCCTCAAAGTGCCAACACGGCAATTAAACCTGAATACTGAGATTTAAGTTTAGAAAAAACAACTCGTACAGTTGTCAGAACTAATTAACCTCTTTTGTTTTAAAAGAAGAACACAACAGAGAGTTCAATGATACAAATTTTAAATAATGATATAAATAGATCAAATTAAGCTTATATTTATTAGTATCTCCAATAAATGCAATACATACACACAGACTGCTGAACACATTCACACACCGACTGCTTAATACATACACACACACAGACAGACAGCTAAATACACACAGACAGGCAGACAGACTGCTAAATACACACACACACACAGACAGACTGCTAAATACATACACAGTCCGCTAAATACACACACACAAACATATACAGTCCGCCAAATACACACACACAGTCTGCTGAGTACACACACACAGTCTGGTGAGTACACACAGACTGCTGAGTACATACATTGTCTGCTGAATACACACACAGTCTGATGAATACACACACAGTCTGATGAATACACACACACACTGTAGAAACATAAAGACTGCTGAATACACACACATATACTGTGTATGTGTTTGTGTGTAAGGGTGTGGAGTGTGTGTGGAGTGCTGTGTGTGTGAGCGGGGAGGGGTGCTGTGTGTGTGAGGAGGGAGGGGTGCTGTGTGGGGGGTAGGGGTGCTGTGTGTGGGGGTAGGGGTGCTGTGTGGGGGATGTAGGGGTGCTGTGTGTGGGGGTGGTAGGGGTGATACATTAAAAATTAATTTAAAAAGGGGGGACACTGCCATCCCTGGTGGTCCGGTGGTGGTAAGTATGTGACAGGGAAGCAGCTCTCCACACAGATTGCTCGTGGGAGGACAGGAGAGCTGCTTCCCTCCCCCTTCTTCCGGTCCTCCCGACAAGAAAGCAGAGTAGGCGTCTGCCTTTTTTGGGTAGGCAGGTGCCTACTCTGCATTGATGGCGAACCTATGGTCGCGTGCCCACAGAGAAGGCCCGGCGTGCCACCTGTGTCACGCGTGCCATAGGTTCGCCATCACTGTTCTGGGTTGATCAGAATAAGTTTCAACTTGTGTCATCAGGAATGGTTTCAGAATAATCTTACATTTCCCAGTTAGGTAAAAAATTGTTGGGAAGTAAACGTATAAGTAATTTCCAAATTCATTTAGAATGTAACAAATCGGGCAGCTCAATGGCTGTGAAAACAACCAACAGGTCTACTACCAGTATAACCCTTCTTATTCTTGCAAATCATAGTTGATGGTATCAAAATGAAAAATCACGTGGGTCCATGGCTGCTCACCTGCTTGATCCTCATCTCAAGAGAAAAGCGCCTCAGCGCCTCTCTATACTCTCACGCATGTACAGGTGGTCCTCGCTTTGAGACCTACCTGTTTTACGACGGCTCACACTTACAACCAGCTCTCTCGCGGGGTGGTTAGTGCGACCCGTCGTGAGAATTAGAGGGATTCCCTGATCTGCTACATTCGTCTATGTTCGGGGACCCTCTATGTTCGGGGAAAAGGCAAGCACCACCCCAAGATTTTCCTTTATTTTGATTTAAATGTGGCTTAAAAAGACAGTTTAGTTACCAAAACAACTTAATCTAAATGAAGTGTTATGGTGTCAGAAGGTCCCCAGAGGCACTCTTACCTTAAAGGATTAAACCATTCTCAAATGGTTTAATCCTAAAAGGACTCACCTCCCCCTAGGCATTATCCGGCTTCTGAAATCTTAAAAAAGTTTCAGAAAGTGGAGAGTGCCGCCGGGGAAGGTTGCAGCTGATTGGCTGAGAGCAGTCATCTGACGATCTCAGCCAATCAGTGACTCCTCATTCACAAAAATGGCTTGAAAAAGGTACGTTTCTTTTCAAGACAGTTTTATGAGTCACTGATTGGCTGACAGCGTCAGCTGACTGCTCTCGGCCAATCAGCGGCTCCCCTACCTGACAGCACTCTGCTCTTCCTGAAACTGAGATTACAAAAACTGGAGGCCACCTGGGTGGAGAACAGTTTAACTTCTTAAGCTAAGAGTGCGTCCGGGGGCCTCCTGGCACCATAATAACTTCATTTAGATGACATTTTTATTGTCCTAGATTGGCCCTTTAGGAGTGTTAGTGGCTATGCACATTAGCACATGGTTTGTCCCCCTGTCCACTCTCCTATACCATAGATTGTTAGGTGGGGCTATATAACAAACCAGGAGGGGGGTCTCATATCTTGAGAGAGGGGGACCTGTTTACTGATTTTCCCGTAACACTGGGTAGTCACTGAACTCCTTTGCTACCATGTGCAACCTAAATAACGCCTCTCTTATTCTCTCACCTATGTATTAAAAAATGTTAAAGGAACACTGTAGTATTATTGAATACAAACATATATTCCGAATGCTATAATGTCCTGTTACCTATTTAGGTCTCCACTCCCTGCTGTTTGGGGGTTTAAAAGGTGAGCTTTAGGTACCTTTCAACACACGTTACGCCAGTTTTCATCCTGCCTCTCCACCTCTTTGGCTGAGATCATAACAGTAGGTGATCTCAGCAAATCCAAGTTTCACTCACCTGTTTTTGTGAAAGTACCTCAAGTGGCTGTCAGAGTGGAAGCCACGAGAGACATGGTAAATGGACACTCCAGACCCCTAATGCATTTCAGCTTGCTGAAGTGCCTTATGTGTGAAGAGTGTATCCTCTCTTTTTCATTTTACAAAAAGTGCATATTTCAATAGAAACTGGCACTATTTTAAAGTAACCTTTGTTATACCTCCCTGGCTGTCAATCAGCAAGTCAATCCTGTTACTTCCTGGTTTGTTTAGCTCAGTGGAGCTAAACTCAAGAAACAGGGAATTGCCCAGAGCACCTGCCTTGCAAAGACTTCTCAGTAAGCAGTATTCCTGACCCTATAGTGTTAAAAGCATCATTTAGGTGGCTTCCCCCCCCCCAGTCCCTTTAGAAAGGGTTAAAAATGTACCCTTTTTCCAGTGCTACAGGAGGAGTGGCCACAGGAGGTGCCCCTAGAGGGCAATGTGAACACTGCCTTTTCTCTGAAAAGAGTGTCTGAATGTAAATTCCTGCAGGGACTGTCTATACTCAGCAGAACAGCTACAATGACTATAGTGTCCCTTTAATGATTAATGGTTGCATTGCCATATATCTAAAAGGATTAGGTTATAAAGTAAATATAAAAAAGGTTAGAGGGTGGACTTGTCTGTTCCACCATTATAACAAGCCAGTTCATGTCCAGTTTCCCTTCATAAACAGTGCTATATCTACTTTATCGCATGAATTTCAAGTGATTGTAATAGAGGGGTTTAAATTCTCATGGCACACATGAAGGATAAATATGACTAATGCAGTCAATCACACTTGGATTACACATTACAGAAATAAACACGCTTCCCATGGAGCTGGGAAATCAAAGCAGAGAAATTTCAGCAGCCCCCTCAACACCCTCTCCATAGCAGTTTTAGGGCAACCGTAGAGGTGCACCTAGCGTACAGCATCGCCACCAGCAATGTGCCCGTAAGCAGACGCCTTCTTGGTGCACCCTCCTGCCACCTGTTACCCGGGTTGAATTGTCCCCATCCCTCCTATACGCTTCTGCTTTTGAGCACTCTGGATAGGTAAATTAAAATGATTTATTTCTTACCTAGGGCACAAAATAGTCTTGCAGCGACCCTTGCCATGATCCAGCCATAGTCAGTTTCCCTGCATGACTAGCAGCCAAGGCTATTGCAAAGCAAACACATTTGTCGACAGAATATGCAGCAGTCAGAACATGGGCAGCCTTGGTTGGTTGCCTTACAGAGCTGCCTATCCTAATGGCACATATGGGCACTGGTGTGATACACTCTTTTCACAGCTGCAGGACTCTCTAGCATACACCCACTCACCTTGGCTTCAATACCTCTAAATTGGAGTGCCCTTAGACAAAGCTAAACATACAGACACATAGCCTCATAATCATTGTAAAACAGCTGCGAATGTACAGCAAGCTGGTTAATCTCATCTATACAGAGTTCGTTCAAATAAATTAAATAAATGGGCACTTCAAGCATCATATGGTGCATGGAGCTCCATTTTCTCATCTGCCTTCTTTATATTTTACATGCTGCAGAGAACTTAAAATTTAGCATCACCTATAAATCCAAGCTACCACCAGCACTGTATAAATCTCAAGGTAAACTGTGCCTTAGTGAGCACTATCCAGGTGAGTGGCAAAAACCGCTGACCCCAAACCGCCGACGTCTGTGATTTTTTCATTGAGTGTGTGTGAATGTCAGTGTGTATTTATAAGTAAATGTGTGTCTGTCAGCGAGTGTGTGTGTGTGCATGTGTGTGAGAATCAGGGCCGGTGCAAGGATTTTTGCCACCCTAGACAAACAAAAATTTGTCGCCTCCCCCCATCACAATGCCCCACACCCATATGATCTGCCAAATGAGCCAACGCCAGTGCTGCACACAGTGTCTTTCATCTGAAAAGGCATTGTATTTACATTAAAAAGCCTGCAGGGACAGGCTATAGACACCAGAACCACTACATTAGGATGTAGAGAGTTCTGGTGACTGTAGTGTCCCTTTAATGTGAGGTAAATTAGGGATTAGTGCAACTAATAATATACTGGATTGCCTACTTACCACCAGATGAGGACAAAAGGATGATGATGGATCAGGCTGCAGTCTGGCTCCACTGGTCTGGTGTTAAAACAGGCTCTTAGAAGCAGTGCTCACAAAAACAACGAACAGGAAGCAGCTCCATTTTTTTGGGCCCCTTACACAGATCATGGTCTGGGCCCCCAGTGTCTGACCGTGAGTATGCTTACAAGGCCCGCCCATAAGCCTGATGCCTACAAGGCCCATCCATAAGTTCGCTCACAGGGAGTGAAGTGTATGTGTGTAGAAGATGTAATGTGTGTGTGTTCTTATGGAATGTAATGTACAGGGATACCGGTTTGTGTAAGGGATGTAGTGGGTGTGTATAGGGGATGCAGTGTGTGTTTGTGAGTAAGGAATGCATTGTTGTTTCTGTGTGTGTGTGTGTGTCCGTTTGTGTGTGTTAGAGGTGCATTGTGTGAATCTGTGTTTGTATGTGTAAGGGATGTAAGGTGTGTTTCCGTGTATGTAATGTAATGAAGTGTGTGAACCTGTAAGGGGTGCATTGAGTGTGTGTAAGAGATGCATTAAGAAAAGCAGTGTGTATGTGTGTGTGTAAGGGATACATTGTGTGTGTGTGTTTGTGTGTGTGTGTGTGTGTTTGTGAGGTATGCATTGTGTATGTGTAAGTGATGCATTGTGTGTGTGTAATGGATATATTGTGTGTTTTGGTTTGTGTAAGGGAAGCATGGTGTGTTTCTGTGTGTGTGTATGATGAATTGTATGTTTCATTGTGTCTGTGTGTGAGTAGGGGTGCATTCTATTCATGTGTGTTTCTGTGTATGTGTAAGGATGCATTGTGTATGTGTGTAGTGTGAAAGAGGGTTTGTGGGGTAGGATAGGGGCTGAGAGGGGAGCAGCTCTTTATTTTTATTATTATATTTATTTTGTTAATATTTTTTTTTTAATATATATTTTTAAGTTTTGTGTCTTACACTCCCCTTTAGTGTAGAGCCAATTGGTTATAAAGCAGCAATTTTGATTATGTCACAAAGGGGGCGTTTCCAGTGCTGGCGGACCCGAGCGGCGCTGGAAATAAGGTGAGTTTTAAACTTTTATAGGTGGGCTAAGGGAGCACAAGCCACCTAAATGGTGGTTTAAACACTATAGGGTCAGGAATGCAGTGTTGCAGAGAAAATGCAGTGTTTACATTACAGCCTAGGGATACCTCCACTAGCCACTCCTAAGACGGCTACAAGAGGAGCTTCCTGGGGCAGTGCTGCAAACTGCCATTCAGTGTCTCCACCCTCTGCATGGAGACACTGAACTTTCCTCATAAAGATACACTGATTTAATGCATTTCTATGAGGAGATGCTGATTGGTCAGCTGTGTGTTTTGCTTTTGCTGGCTTTGCCCCTGATCTGCCTCCTTGATAAGCTCAGCCAATCGTATGCTTTCCTATTGGAAATCATTGTGATTGGCTGAGAGAATCACTTCTGACGATGTCAGCCAAGCAGGCAGATCAGGGGCATAGCCAGCAGCAGCAGACTGGAATAAAAGTAAGATTTTACTATATTGGGGCAGGGGGGCTAGATTTTTTTTTAACACTTTAGGGTCAGGAACACAAGTTTGTGTTCCCGACCCTATAGTGTTCCTTTAATACTATAAGAAATGATATTCCATGAAAATTCCACTTTAAATGTTTCACAGTTCCAGCCATCTGAGAAATCTCTTTAAAATGGTAACTGTAACAGTCTTAAAGCAGCCGTGTTAAGCAGTACTTACCTTTTTTTCAATTGCTTCATCTTCTCTTCCTCTTTCCAACGCTGTCTTTCTTCTTTTCTTTTTTTAGTAGGGATTACTTTGTCTTGTGTATTTTTCCCAAGCCTGACTATCTTAGACACTGGGTGGAGTTACAGTGTCGATCCCAACAGCAGCTACCAGTGATGGCTGCAGGGAATTGACTCTGCCTATGGAGAATCCTGCAGTCTTGTGGGATCTTCCAAAGACCTTAATTCTGTACTCTCATGCATGGCAGCACCTGCGAGGGACAGGTTTAGGTAAGTAGAACTCACATTTCCCTGCAAGCACACCCCCCTCCTCCAGCCACCAGACCACCAATATGGAAAGCAGACTCATTGCTGGGCAGGATATATTGTGGAACAGAATAAGATTTGCACTGATAATTCTTAATAAATTGTTCATTTCTATATGAAAAATATAAAAAAGGGTTTTTATTTGTAAGAGATCAGTGTGGTATTTATAAGCAGTTCAAAATATGAACATGAAATTAAAAAAATGAAGAAATATAACACGTCCCATTGCCTCTTTCAACGCGCATGTAGGCCACCAAATATTAATCATTCTACATTGGCCTGCAAACATGACATTTCTCATTTAAAAATAGAAGCAGATAAGAATCACTAGGGATAAGCGCTTAGCACAGAAATAAAAGTAACACCTGTCAACTTGTAGGGACAATCCCTTATGTGGGATGTAAGTCCAGTTACTTCTGCATTTTTTAAATTTCTTTATTTTTATTTAGGGTACCATAAATATGCAGTACTACAAGATCTAGTTAGACCAGATTCAAGTAAGCAATAACAGAGTCTACAATTTTTAACCTCTAAAAAGCAGTACAATTGTAGGTATAGATGACAAGTTAAGCGGCTTGTAAAAAAAAGTCACATTGTTTTGACGACTACATTGTCAGAAAATACTATTAGAGCCTGGTCGTGTGAGAATATATTAAAATGATACCCTCATAACCTTTCCTAACATAAAGCAATAGAAAACAAAAACAAATAAGAACCTAGACCCACCAGGATAAGTCCCCCTGTGCCCTCTCTGCCCACACAGTGGGTTAAGAGCTTGAGGTAAAATCAAGTAGAATGGAAGGATGGGTCTAGAGTAGGCATGTAATTCTTCCTCTTTTGCCTGGTTTAATTCCCATACATTGTAGACCCTGATTTCCCAATCTGTGCTATGCGTACCCCAGGGGGTACACGCACTGAAAGCAGGTGGTATGCTGGGATCGGATGGAGCTACAGCTCAAGAGTCCCAGACCGGCCTTGCCATCACTCATGCTGAGTGCAAAGGTGGGTGTCTAATTAGGCGAGTTAGGCTGTCTCCAATGCAATGAATTGAGCAGAAGTGTACAGCAGTTGCTCCAAAACTAGCATCCTACTCGAATTATTCAGAGAAAATTCAATTCACAGCTATTTTAGCACCCAATATCTGGGGCAACAATGGGGTGACGCTCTAAGACAGCAAAGATCAGTACCTATCCTAAATCACCCAACATTGAAGACTTTTTCCCTGCCAGGCCCCACGGCCACATCTGACCACGAGGGAGCAACTTTCAACTTCCTCCGAGGCCAGCACATTGGAGGACCAAGTGAAGATCTCTCACAGCCCTTACCAGTATTAAACCACTGTCCCCTGTAGACATCTCTGTGGTGAGGGAAGAAATGACCACATGGGCCTCATGCAGGCGGTAGTGGAGGACAAGGGGTGCCTACAGAGGCAAACAAGATGATATGGCTAGTGTTATATCGATGCTTCAGAGCAGACCACATATATATGAGATAAAGCTGGCAGGATTTACATGAAACAACTGGGTGAGAGGTATCCAAGAGTCTATATCCTACGGGGAAATGCCTTATTTGCTGAGACTAATCTGGGCTTACCTACTGTCATCATCCAGGGCTAAGACCATTGCTATGGACTCCCACTTGCAAGAGTTGCAAGATCCACCAGAACTTCTGGTACAGTTTCGTACAAAGTAAGCTACAGTAATGACTGCTGCTAGAGCATTTCCCACCCATAGTTTTGAGGGACATGTCCTGGCCTTCAATGGTGACTTTTTTCATACTACTTTTATCTGGAGGTGATCCCTGGGACTCGTTACCAAGCTTTTACGTGAAAATGCTATCCCTTATTGGTGGGACACAGGACACCAGCTGAGTGTGCAACACGAGGGAAAACATCTTTCCGATGTGTAACAAGCTGATACTTTCTCTCAGCACTGGGACTTTCGCTACCTGTCCTGTCAGCACCAGAACACAGCAAGAACCTATGCAACACACTGGAATGTGGATACATTGCAGCCCTTCTACCCAAGGGGTAGTCAATCTACAGCCAACTCAAAAATTACTATAGCTGTTACCTGAACTTTTTTCTGGGCTTTGGTCTGGGCCCAGGGCTAAGCAGTAATACCTTTATGTTATATCTTTTTAAATTTGTAGATTCACCTTTTGCTATATCACTGCTGTTGTTATTTTTCTATTTGATTTCTGTTTGTTTTTGTTTAGCTTTTCTAGAACTGCAGAATAATTGTTAGATGACTGTCTGCCCTAGCGATGTTAGGATTGCCTCTCCTACAAGAGTGCATACCCTCTCTACAGCAACACTTTGTTGCGATTTCAGACGAGAAGATTAAAGGAACTCTATAGTGTCAGCAACACAAATGTGTATTCCTGATATCATAGTTCTAAAACCACCATTTAGGTGGTCAGGCCCCCTTACCTCTTGTTAGAAATGTGATTTACTCACCTTTTTTCAGCACGGCGCAGGGCTCTTTGTATCTAGCCCCACCCTCGGATCCACCACCTTGGCTGACATCATCAGAATTTATTAACTCAACCAATCACAATGCTTTCCCATATGAAACAGTGGTGACAGTTGTCCTTTAACTTTGGAACTCAAAAACTACTTTGTCTCAGGAATTTTCCTGTGCCTGACGCCTCTTGACACTGGGTAGAGCGAACATCGTCAAGAAGCATCAAACCCCAGCTGTCACTGGTGACAGCTCAAATTAGGTATTTCCATGGAGGATCTTGCGAGATTCTCCATAGACCTCTCAGCTGTACTCTGGCGCATGCAAACGAGTACAGCTGTGACATTGGCTCCTGGAAGCTGAAGTGCTAGGAGCAGAAGAAGACTGGCTGGGAGACGATGGCGGTGCCCACAAGGGATGGGTTTAGGTAAGTACAACTAACATTTGCCTGCCTCCATCCACTGCCACTGGACGCCCAGCAGTGATGTCACCTTCGGGGATCTTTACAAATTATGTGAAGTTCCGAGACAGTGTGTTATTCCCCTGCCTGTCCTGTTTCCAGGAGCCTTCCACTTATATAGGCCCTTAGACCCCTCCTCATGGGAGGGCTCCCATTCCCTTCTTCCTATTTAATCCCTTAAGGACAGTGGACGTGCTATGCCATCCTTGGGGACCCAGCTCTAAACGCCGGCAGGCGGCATAGTACGTCCCCGCCGTCCAGGGGACTAACCTGCTCGCCGGCAATGCCACGCTGGTGATCTCAATGGGGGGACTTGCCTCCTGCTGCTGATCCGGCCCTCCTGGGCCATGTGATCGCGAGGTCCTTGCGAGGACCTCACGATCACATAAACAGAATAGCCGTCCATAGCAGTGCCAGCAGGGAGAGTGCCTGGAATGACAGGAACGCCCCCTGCTGCCTGAAATAAATGAATATAAAGTTAAAACTCAGTGTAAAATAAAATAATATATACTTAGATTATATATATATGATCTAAGTATATATATATATATATATATATACATATATACACATACACATACATACACTGTCTAAGTGTATTTTAATATTTATATATATATATAAATAATGATATATATATATATTAATATCAAAATACAGATAGGATGTTATTAATACAAAATATAATTATATATATATATAATATAAAATAAATGAATAAATATATAAATGCGTTAAAAATAAAAAATAATAAAAAATAAATCATTTAAATATATATATGTGGAATTTCGTTCTAACTGTATTTTGATATTAATATATATATTGATATCAAAATACACTTAGAACAAAATAATATATGTATATATTTATACATAAATATATATGTATATTTTTTTAATTCTACGTATATATTTATGTAATATTTTTATATAATTAAGTAATTTTATAAATTACAGTTTGCGGGACCTGCCTGATAACCCAGGCAGAAAGTCCAGAGAATTTAATTTGCTAGCACTATATTTAACCCTGTAACTTTCCAAGACACCATAAAATCTGTACATGGGGGGTCAGGGCCAGACTGGGGATACAAAGCAGCCCTGGAAAAAAAATTTGTGCCAGCCCCATAAGTCACTGCGCCATATATTGTCGCGTGTAATATGTAAGGTGATGTCTTGCCAGGACAGATGATTGAGTAATATATATATATATATATATATATATATTGCTTTTTCTAATATAAAATATTGGTCCTTTCAGGGTAAAACGTTTAATTATACAGTAAGCATACTCACATGCAGACACAGGCAATTTCACTGACATCTCAATGACACACACAAGCTCATTGATACACAGCCTCATAGACAAACAATCTTACTGATATACATCAGCTCATTGACATAAAAACACAAGCTCACTCACTAGCAGGCACAGGCATGCAAGCAAGCTCACTCACTAGCAGACGCACACACACAGCTTAATGTGGTGGTACTGGTGTCTATAGCATGTCCCTACAGGCTTTTCAACGTAAACACTGACTTTTCAGAGAAAAGGCAGTGTTTACATTGCTTCAAAGTGACACTGCTAGTGACAGTCACTCAGATGGTCACTAGAGGTGCTTCCTGTGTTAGTGCACCTACATTCAGGGCCTCCACACTCTGTAGGTGCTGAACGTTCCCCATAGAGATACATTGATTCAATGCATCTCTATGAGGAGATGCTGATTGGAGTGGCGTTTTGCAGCCAATCCTATGGCAAAGCATTGGATTGGCTGAGATCATCAAGCTTGATGATCTCAGCTATAGAGGCAGGGCCAGTCGAGGGGAGACCAGCACGCTGCGTGGGGAAAAAAAAAAGGTGAGCAAAAACACTATTTTTAAACACACATTTACACCATGACAGACACAGAAACACACATATACCATGACAGATACACACCCCATGACAGACACAGACACAGACAGACACACACACCATGACACAGACAGACACACACCACCATGACAGGACAGACACACACACACCCTTGACGGACAGACAGACACACACACACACCCCATGACGGACAGACACACACACCCACACCCACACCCCATGACACACACACACACACACACACACCCCATGACGGACAGACACACACACATACACCCCATGACGGACAGACACACACACACACACACCCCATGACGGACAGAAAGACACACACACACACCATGACGGACAGACAGACACATACACACCTCATGACGGACAGACAGACACACATCATACAGACAGACACTATGACAGACAGACAGACACCATGACACGGACAGACAGACACACACAACATACATACAGACAGACAGACACACACACACCATACAGACAGACACCATGACACGGACAGACAGACACACACACCATACAGACAGACAGACACCATAACACAGACAGACACATTACTAGTACCTGCCACCAGGGGGAGGTCTTCTGGAGGCCGCTGGGGAGGTCTTCTGGCGGCCGCTGGAGGACTTGTACTGGCTGCCGCTGGGGAGGTCTTCTGACGTCATATTCCGGCGCCGGTCTCATTCAGCTGCGCGCTGGGGAGCAGAGCCAGTGCAGCTCCCCCAGCGGCCGCCAGAAGACCTCCCCAGCGGCCGCCAGCAGGCCCAGGTGTCTGCCCAGCCCCAGGTGCCGACGGCCCACCGGAAATTTCCTGGTATCTCGGTGGGCCAGTCCGGCCCTGTGGGGGGTACTGTCTTACTCGAGAGACTTTGCTGAACACAAATATTAGTGTTTCAAAACCATAAAACACAACACAACAATGATATTGTCTGTGAAAGTGCAGTTTTTTGCATTTGTCACACACAAACATCACTTTCACTGACAATATAATTGTTGTGATAAGTTGTAATGTTTGGAAACACTAATATTTGTGATCAGCGAAGTCTCCTGAGTATAACAGTACCCCTCATGTACAGGTTTTATGGTGTTTCAAAAAGTTACAGAGTCAAATATAAGGCTTTTGTTTTAGTTTTTTCACATTGAAATTTGCCAGATTGGTTACGTTGCCTTTGAGATCGTATGGTAGCCCAGGAATGAGAATTACCCCCATGATGGCATACCATTTGCAAAAGTAGACAACCCAAGGTATTGCAAATGGGCTAAGTCTAGTCAGTTTTGGCAATAATGGCATGTGCATAATATGTCCAGCTTAAAAAAAGTAATTCAAAATAAATTCATGTACTTGTCTTGATTTATAGAGTACATAATATATATAGGATTTCAGCTTATTTTGAAAGCTAACGGTCACAAAATAAAAGGACTAAAATAAAATTTCAATGTAAAACAATTGTAGAAGTTGGTATGTTTGACTTGTAGGTTTAGTAGCCATCACAGAAAAAAAAATGCCACACAAAAGTATATATTTATATAAAGTAGTATTTTGACACTCTTTACAAAGCCATTTCAACGCCAATCTCTGCTAAATATTGGAGTAAAATTTTGTTTTTTTCTTTATTTTGGCATATAGACATATAACAAGTTTTTGTTATGTGTATTTCGTAAAGCTGGTGTGTGCTATTCCTGCACAGAACTCCATATTGTGTTCAGCTACATCTGCTGAGTATAACGATACCCCCATTGTATGCCTTTGGCACTATTCTGTGAAGCTACAATGTCATATTTTCATAGATGGATTTGATGAGCCTATGTCTCATTTTGGGGTATTTATATCAGTGTGAGTATTCAAATAAACCCACAAAGGGCTTCCATTTGATAAAGCAGACACCCCAGTGTATCTTATATGGTGTATATTGTGCCTTAACTTGTCACCATTTTTTCACCAATTATGTCAATATTTGTGATGAGGGGGAAAAAAATTGCATTTTTACATACATGTTGCATTTTTGCTGAGTATTTCTTACACTTGATATGTACCACTGTCATAAAATCCCCAAAATTATGCTCAGTTGAATCTTCTGAGTAAAACAATATGCCCAATGTATGACCTAGACACTATTTTGTGAAGTTACAGTGCTGTAAGAGACGTGACAAGTTCAGGGTTTTAAGTGTGAATTTTCATTGAGGGTTTTGATGCATCCGTGTCCCACTTTGGAGCACTTGAGCACGCTACGTATTCCAGCTACACCATAAAGGTATAGCATTTCTTAAAGAAGACATCCCAGGGTATTTCAAAAGGCATATTTTGAACCTTACCGTGGGATCATTTTTCTGCTAGCTTGTACCAAGTGTAGTGGTAATAAGCATTTTTTCTGCCTTTTTGACACACAAAGTGAGTTTGCACAGTATATTCTGCAAACCATATGTGTGTTACAACTGTATAATACTTCATATGTTGCTCAGCTATGTCGTCTGAGTACAACAATACCCCTGTATGTACCTTTGCCAGGTATATGTGGATGTTGAAGTGGCACATTTGAGACGCAGCCATTCAGTTTTTTTCTAAGTTTGAAGTTTTATGCTGTGTCCATGTTTCATTTCGGAGTAGTTTAGCTGGTTGGGTATTCAAACTACCCCACAAACACATACTATTTATTAAAGAACACACCCCGGGGTAATTCAAAAGGTATATTTTGAACCTTAGTGTGGGATCATTTTTTTCGCTAGTATGGTCCAGATGTAGTGACAATGACCATTTTGTTTAGAATTTTTTTTGTGTACTTATTAAATTTGTTTTACTTTTTTTAAACATTCTTGAAACTTTTTTTACACTTTTAACATTTTTATAAATCGATGTTTGACAGAAAGAAAAGTAGAAAATAGTAAAAAGTTAGCCCCAACCTCACCATGCACCCAATTTGCCACCTCTGGGGCTTTCCCACCTATCCCCTAAGACTAGGCTGGTGAGAGACTTCTTACCATAGTGAGCAGTCTAATTCCCCATCTCCCCACCATCACCCCTTGTGTTCCTCTCTTATATAACATATACATATAAGCATCTCAAGGATACCACTGTTCTGCATGTTTTGCTCTGGTTCTCCTCAAAGAAGCTATCGGTATTTTGCTGTTTAATCTCCTGATCCCTATAAAACCAAAACCTTTTTGTGGGTGTTTCAGGGCTCCTCCATAGGGCAGGGTACAAGTGCCCTTGTGGCATTCAGAAGGTGCCTCAATATTGAATGCTTATATTTAGATATTGATAGACAAGTAGTAAAATGTTTTTGAATGTGAACAGAGAGTTAGTCCCGAATATCTCTGTGAGGGTATCCCTAACCATCGGCCACTACGGTTTTATGATCGGGCAATCCCACCAAATATGCGTAATTGATCCTCCACATCTTTAACACTCTTGGGAGACTTATTTTATGTAAAAATCCAGGTGGTAAAAGATAGGGTTTATGTTGACAATGGATTACACAGAAGTGTATACAGATATTTGTAACAAAAAAGTAGATTAATGTAATTCCTTCTTGTGGTTAATTGTTGAACTAGATGATATCCCCAGTGAATATTGGCCCTGTGGATCTGTTCTTAATCTGGGTTGTCTAGCTTGGCTCTCCACTTGTGGTCAACATTTCTTCACACTTAATTTAAACCCAATATATGACTTGACAATCTTTTCATTCCTCACCCATGATTGTGAACCTTTATGAATTTTAGACATTATTATTATTGTTCTTATTATTTGCCTCTTGTTTCTTTATCCCTATACTAAAAGACAAATGTCTGATAATACATAATGTATTTTTCGATTATTTAATATCCTTTAATGAAAGCAGCACTGTCACCATCTGGGGACTTTGCAGAATTTGCAAAGTTCGCCGATGGTGACATGGCTGCTGAAGATCCAGTGACGGGGGAGGGCAGGTAGCAAAGGGGACTTCTATTTAGCTGAACCTGTCCCTCATAAATGTGGTCATCTTCTCCCAGAAGGTCCCCTTCAGCACCTAGCTCTTCAGCTGCCAGAAGCTGACGTCACTGTTGTACTCTCGCACATGCGTGAGAGTACAGCATTGAGGTTTGTGGAGCCATAGACAAATCCTCTATAGACAGAGTCAATTCCCTGCCAGTGACGGCTGGGGGATTGGCACTTCTAGACGGCGGTAGCTCCGCCCAATGTCTAAAAATGTCAGGGTTATGAAATATTCAGAGACAATATATCTCTTGACTGGGTTGGAATTTCAGTAAATTCTAACACAGTCAATATGAGTATTTCATAAAAATTCTATCTTTATGAAATACTCTGAAATACTAATTTTATAAAGTGGTGTTTTAATATTTTTTTGTATGAAAAGAGGAATTACATTTTAAATTATAAAAAAAGAATGAAAAAACAAACGGTAAAAAAAACAAAAAACAAAAGCAGCTGAAGAAGGTGTATTGTTAGGAATGCAGTCTGACAGTGCTGGATGAGTCAGAAAAAAATCAAAGTGAAATGAGAAAGACAGTTAACCAATTAGAGGCAGTGAACCGTGAGCTGTAGGGGTGATGTAGACTACTAGAAGGTAGTAAATTACAGGTGCAGAAGTTCTTACAGCTCCAGGCAACCTCCGATTTCAGAAAAGCATATTAAATTGATTTTCTGGTTGCAGTAGGCACAGATGGTGACGTGGTTATACGATGGCATGCAAGTGATGACATTTGTGTCAATGGCAGCCTCCCACCCATCCTGTCCTGATTTAGTACATGCCACGGTTGACAAGTATGGTGTGTGTATGAATGTGTGGGTCAATTTTATTGTAGCATGATGTGTGTCTAAGTATGTATAGTGAGCGTGTATGGGTGTATAATGCTGTATGTATGTGAATGCATGTATGTGTAGCATAACTGTGCCTCCATGTTGCTCTTCCCCAACTTTGAGACCTTTATCAACGGTGGACAGACACATTCTCATCATTCCCTGTTATGGCATCTGAATTTATGATTTCAATCATATTGATACATTATTTCTACAAACAGGTCGGCATCCTTGCTTTAGGCTTCTCCCTATGCATGCAACTACATTAGGTGAAATTATCAGGCAGCTGGGTGGAGTCAATTTACACGAGGTCAACTTAACCATGGGGCACTTTCTTTCATTGAGACACTATATTAATATATTGCTTTTTGTTTTTCAGGATTTGTTACATCATCTTTCCTCCTACCCTGCCTCTTGAGTCTAGGAATTCTCCTACCATTTGTCTCATTACAGAATGAAGGTCAGTGGGTGTAAATATGCATGTAAAATACGGCATATCACTGTCAGTATGAATGAAGATGAGGGTTTCTATATACAGTCATGGGAAAAAGAAAGTACACCGTCTTTGATGTCCATGGTTTTACATATAAGGACATGAAAACAATCATCTGTTCCTTAGCTGGTCTTAGATTAGGTAAATACAATCTCAGATGGACAACAACATGTAAAATATTACAACGTGTCATGATTTATTTAACAAAAATAAGCCAAAATTGAGAAGCCATGTGTGAAAAACTAAGAACACCTCCATAAAAAAAGTTGTTGCTGTTTGCTGGGAGCATTCAGGTGTGTGTTAAAACAATCCCAAGAAGGAAAGACATCAGCAATGATCTTAGAGAAGCAATTGTTGCTACCCATCAAACTGGGAAGGGTTGTAAAGCCATTAACAAACAAAAAGACCATCATTCTACAGTGATAGCATTCAAGACAGCTGCTAATCCTCTCAGGAGTGGACATCTCAGCAAATTCACCCCAAGTCTGACCATGCAATGCTCAGAGAAATTGTAAAAACCCAAAAGTTACATCTCAGACTCTACAGGCCTCAGTTAGCATGTTAAGTGTTAAAGTTCATCAGAACTTTCATCAGTACAATCAGAAAATGACTGAGCAAGTATGGTTTGTTTGGAAGGGTTACCAGGAGAAAGAGCATGACTTTGGTTTTCAAAGTTGCATCTGAACAAACCACAAGACTTTTGAAACAATGACCTTTGGACAGATGAGACCAAAGTAGAGACGTTTGGCCATAATGCACAGCACCACGTTTAGTGAAAACCAAACACGGTATATCAGCCCAAACACCTCATACCAACTGTCAAGCACGGTGTTGGAAGGGTGATGAGTTGGGCTTGTTTTGAAGCCACAGATCCTGGGAATTTCCAGTCATTAAGTTGACCATGAACTCCTCTGTGTAGCAAAATTATAGAGTAAAATGTGAGGCCATCTGTCTGACAGTTAACGTTTGGCTGAAATTGGGTCATGCAACAGGACAAAGATCACAAGCACACCTGCCAATCTACAGCAGAATGGCTGGAAAACAAAAAAATAATCAAGGCATTGCAATAGCCCAGTCAAAGTCCAGACCTAAACCCAATTGAAATGCTGTGATGGGACCTTAAAGGACCACTATAGGCACCTAGACCACTTCAGCTCAATGAAGTGGTCTGGGTGCCAGGTCCATCTAGGTTTAACCCTTTTTGCTGTAAACATAGCAGTTTCAGAGAAACTGCTATGTTTACAAATAGGTTAATCCAGCCTCTAGTGGCTGTCTCATTGACAGCCGCTAGAGGCGCTTCCGCGCTTCTCACTGTGATTTTCATAGTGGGAAGACGCCAGCGTCCATAGGAAAGCATTGAGAATGCTTTCATATGGACTGGCTGAATGCGCGCGCGGCTCTTGCCGCGCATGCGCATTCAGTCGGTGACGGAAGAAGAGGAAGGATTAAAGGTAAGGGATTAACCCCTTTCGCCCCCCTCAGCGCCACGGGAGTGGGACCCTGAGGGTGGGGGCACCCTCAGGGCACTAAAGTGCCAGGAAAACGAGTATGTTTTCCTGGCACTATAGTGGTCCTTTAAGAGAGTAATGCATAAACAATTGCCAGCAAATCTCAATGAACTGAAGCAACGTTGTAAAGAAGAGTGGGCCAAAATTCCTCCACAATGATGTGAGAGACTGATAGGGTAATACAGAAAACAAATACTATTGCTGCTAAAGGTGGTTCTACAGGCTACTGAATCATAAGGTGTACTTAGTTTTTCTCACATGGCTTCTCCATTTTGGCTTTATTTTTGTTAAATTAATCATGACATGGTGTAATACGTTATGGTTTTTGTTTGTCTGGGGTTGTATTTACCTATTTTTCAGACCTGCTAATGAACAGATGATTGTTATTATGTCCTGATATGTAAAAACATAGTATTTACAGAGAGTTTACTTTCTTTTTCCCACGGCTGTAAATATATGACAACAAGTGTTTGTGTGTGTGCGTATTTAGCTGTTCCAAGCCTAAAATGGACAATCCTGATGTTCCCAATCTTATCAATAGGTGCTTAGCATACAACATAAACCACTGTCCAGCATGTGATAACAGCTGCATTCATTAGATAAGATACTGTTGCTTGCTGACATTGCCATTCCAAGTTTTATGACTGGAGCAATCAGGTGGGATCATTCAGCCAGAGCTCAGAATTAGCAATAATGAGCCAATTAGCATCAGTATGGATTTTACTTGCTGTACAATTACTTGGACAGACAGGGTTCATAAAGGGACATTCTTAGCACCAAAACAACATCAGCTAAATTAACCAGGTGCGGTGTATGGATATCTTACCTAAAGTCTCACTGCTTAATTCTATGCCAGTTAGGAGTGAAATCACTTTTGTTTCTGTTTATGCAGCCCTAGCCACACCTCACCTGACTCTGACTCACAAGGCCTCCTTGAAAAAAAAATGGTTTTATGTTCAGTCAGGTCTTTCAACACAGTGTGTTTACTTTAGAAGCTTTTATCTCCTTTAGTCACACAAAGGATACTGGATACACAAAGGTAAATTTAGTCACACAAAGGATACTGTTGCATGCTTTCGCAGGTTATTAATAGAACAGGAGATAGGAAATTCTAAATTACACACACTATGCAACAAGGGATGCTAACAAATAGTAGACTCTTTCTGGAAGTGTGGTGGCTGTGTAAGACTCAGTCATGGCAGGTATAACTAGGGATATATAAACAGACTCAGTCATTGCAGGTATAACTAGGGATATATAAACAACAAAGTAATTTAACTTCTAAATGGTAGAGATTTTTGGCTGATCTATATACCAAACCGACTTAATTAAGCCAAAGTTGTTTTGGTGCTTAGAGTGTCCTTTAAGCTTCCTATTGCAATATCTACCAGTAATTGTATAGAATTCCACCTGCAGGAGTTTCTGTAAATTGTGTGAAGGAAGATGAGGAAAGGGGGCCTCCTTGCCCCGTGAGGTATTTTGTTATAATGCGTAAAGAAACACTGCATAGGAATGCAAAGCTGTATTCCTAACACTATAGTGCCCCTTTGCCTCCCCCCAGCTGTTAAAAAGTTAAATAACCCTTTAAACTCTTACCTTATTTCAGCACCAAGGTCCCTCTGCATTGGCTCCGTCTCTGCCTCCTCCAACGTCAGGATCTCGAGGGGAATCCTAATGCGCATGTACGGCAAGTCCTGCGCAAGCATCAGGCCTTCTCCATAGGAAAGCATTGAATCAATGCTTTCCTATGGGGGTTTGAAGAGCGGTCTGCGTGCCGATAGTGTCCCTTTAATGTGTCCATTCAAAGATCCCACTCCAATATGGAATTTCCTACTAGTTTATCAACCCTGAATCTAGATTTAACTGCTGAGGCTAAAGAAACAGGGCATTCTGTTTTAGAGCAGATTGTATTTATGAAAAGGAACGCTATAAATCCTCAAGGAGTTAAAAATAATATGACTACGGTATATCCCTTTGTTCAACAAGTACATCAAAACAGAATGTACCAAGAGTCCACTTAATATTTGGGGCTGAAGTTTTTGGCCCTGCTTGACCGATTCTTTGGAATTCTCTCCTATGCATACTCAAAGAATCTGCTATAATTGAAATATTCTTTCGTTTTATGCAAGCCTTTGAATAAGACCCATCTGTGAATTTTAAAACTTTAATTTGAACTTCTATTTATGCATAAAACTGTAGTTTCTTGAACTTGCCTAGAAACAAAGTGGTAGATAAATCGTAATGTATTCACAATGTATTCTTGTCTATATTGTCACGAGGACAGGGCTTAATTTAGTAGACAATTATGAAGTTTTAGAGCCAGCTACATCGCTGTTGGAACTTGACACATCCAAGTTTTACCTATCACCTGTGACTCCTCTGTCAGCTGGGGACAAATTTGGTTTCCATCTGCTGAATGATGAGTTGTGTTGACTGCACTCAATTTGATGTCCTGAAATGGGACACAGATCCAAGATAAGTTTGAAAACTAAAATGGTCTAAAAAGGTCTCTTTAATTTGGCCCTGTGATTTGTGACATATGTATGCAGGGCCGCCATCAGAAATTGTGGGGCCCCTAACACAGCTCAAGGTCTGGGCCCCCGGGTGCCCGCCTCCAAATCCCCCCCACAGGAATACCCACACAAAGACACAAAAGGACACAGACACACACACAGAAAGATACACACATACTAACAGACACAAATACTGAAACAGACATACACACATATAGACACATACACAGATACAGATACACTCACACACACACACATACTGACATACAGACACACACACTGACGTACATACATACTCACACACTGACACACAGATACAGACATACTGACAAACAGACATACAAACTGACATACATACACATACATACATACTGACATACATACATAATGGCATACATACACATACATACTGATATACATACATGCGCACACACACACACACACACACACACACACAGATAGATATATACATACACAGATACATACAGACATACTGACATACACACATACATACATACATACATGCATACTGACATACATACTAATAGATATATACATACACACATACATACTGACATACACACACACACACTGACGTACATACATACTCACACACTGACACACACATACAAACTGACATACATACATAATGGCATACATACACATACATACTGATATACATACATGCACACACACACACACACACACAGATAGATATATACATACACAGATACATACAGACATACTGACAGACATACAAACTGACATACATACACATACATACTGATATACATACATACACACACACACACACACAGATAGATAGATATATACATACACAGATACATACAGACATACTGACATACTGACATACACACACACATACATACATACATACATACATGCATACTGATAGATATATACATACACACATACATACTGACATACACACACACACACATACATACTGACATACACACACACATACAGATAGACACATACACACACAGACATACATGCATACTGACATACATATACACATACATACTGACATACATACACAGACATACATACATACATACTGACATATATACATACTGACATACACACATACATACATACTGACATACATACTGACACACACACGTACTTGCAGACACATACACAGACATACATACATACTGACAAACAGACATACATACAGACATATATACATAATGACATACACACACATACACACATACATACACACAAACATACTGACACACACACAGACATATATACATACTGACATACACACAGACATATATACATACTGACATACATACTGACATACACACAGACATACTGACACACACGCATACTGACTGACATACACACACACATACATACTGACACACACACAGACATATATACACACTGACATGCACACACACAGACATATATACATACTGACATACATACACAGACATACATACTGACACACACATAGACATATATACATACTGACAATACACACACAGACATACATACTGACATACATACTGACACACACACACACATACTTGCAGACACATACACAGACATACATACATACTGACAAACAGACATACATACAGACATATATACATACTGACATACACACACATACACACATACATACACACAAACATACTGACACACACACAGACATATATACACACTGACTTACACACACAGACATATATACACACTGACTTACACACACAGACATATATACATACTGACATACACACTGACATACACACACACACAGACATATATACATACTGACACACACAGACATATATACATACTGACAATACACACACAGACATACATACTGACACACACACACACACACACACACACACACATACTTGCAGACACATACACAGACATACATACATACATACAGACATATATACATACTGACATACACACACATACACACATACACGCATACATACAGACATACATGCATACTGACATACATACACACAAACATACTGACACACACACAGACATATATACATACTGACATACACACTGACATACACACACAGACATATATACATACTGACATACACACAGACATACTGACACACACAGACATACACGCATACTGACTGACATACATACACACATACATACTGACACACACACAGACATATATACACACTGACATGCACACACACAGACATATATACATACTGACATGCACACACACAGACATATATACTGCCACACACACAGACATATATACATACTGACAATACACACACCGACATACATACTGACATACATGCAAACATACATACATACTTGCAGACACATACACAGACATACATACATACTGACAAACAGACATACATACTGACATACACACACATACACACATACATACACACAGACATACTGACACACACACATACTGACATACACAGACATACATACTGACATACACACACACAGATGGACATATATACATACTGACATACACACAGACATACATACTGACATACACACAGACATACACACACACCGACATACATGCATACTGACATACATACACACATACATACCGACACACACAGAGATATATACATACTGACATACACAGACATACATACTGACATACACACACACAGGCATATATACATACTGACACACACAGACACACATACTGACATACACACACAAACATATATACATACTGACATACACACAGACATACATACTGACATACATACACACACACATACATACTGACATACATACACACATACATACTGACACACACACAGACATATATACATACTGACATACACAGACATACATACATATATACATACTGACACACACACAGACATATATACATACTGACATACACACAGACATACATACTGACATACATACTGACACACACAGACATATATACATACTGACATACACACACACACACACAGACGTATATACATACTGACATACACACACACAGACATGCATACGGACATACACACACACAGACATACATACATACTTGCAGACACATACATATACACACACACTTCATTTATCAGCCACCCTGCTCTTACCTTTAAGTTGCAGGAGAGTGGCTAGGGATGATGGGAGTGGATGCCTCTGGTGTCCTCTCCTGTCCTCTGCTCTCCCTCTCCACCGTTCTCCCTCTCCCCCCGCACGGAGTAAGCCGTCACTTCCTCAGAGCAGCACTTGCGCTGTAGCCGCAATTTTTTTTTTTTTAAAGGGGCCCGGTCGCGCAATTACACGGCCGCAGCGCTGACAGGACTCTCTACAGGAAGTGTTTAGGAAGGCTTTGTAAGTCACATGCAGGGAGGTGTGCCTAGGGCTGCATAAACAAAGTGATTTAACTCCTAAACAGCAGTGAATTGAGCAGTGAGAAAGCAGGGCCATGATCTATACACCAAAACTGCTTAATTAAGCTAAAGTTGTTTTGGTAACTATAGTGTCACTTTAATGTCAAGTTATTTCTACGTTACATGGCCACTTTTAGTTTTGTGTTTTTATTATTTTACTATTTGTCTGTTAAGTGCTGAAACAACAATTATAATAATATTTTCTTCTCTTCCTTCCTCTCTTTCCCCCTACCAATAATTCTCCTCTGTTGCCATCTATTCTCTATCTAGTCAGATCTTACGAACCTACATCATCTTTCTTTTCCTTACCCTTGCCCTTTTCCCCTTATTTTTCCTACAGCCTCGAAAGAACCAACCAATCCTGGTATTACAGAATAGCACCATCATTAGGAATGGAGCAGGACAGATTGAAAAGTGGCCGCTGACCAAGGGCTAGTTGGAGCCAGCCTCCAACATGGCAAATGGCAGTGAGTCAGAGGAGCTTGCTGGCTCTCTTGCCCAGTCAACAGCAATTTCCACACATCTCAAACTGGTTCTACTGGGTTTCATTATTTGTGCCAGTTTGGCGGGCAATCTCCTGGTTTCTCTACTGGTGCTGAAAGACCGCTCATTGCACAAGGCTCCCTACTACTTCTTGCTGGATCTTTGTCTTGCCGATGCTGTTCGATCCTCTGCTTGTTTTCCGTTTGTCCTGCTTTCCATCCGCAATGGTTCAGCTTGGGCCTACAGTCTGCTGAGTTGTAAAGTTGTGGCATTCATGGCTGTCCTCTTCTGTTTCCATGCCTCATTCATGCTATTCTGCATCAGTGTTACACGCTACATGGCAATTGCCCATCATCGATTCTATTCTAAGCGAATGACACTCTGGACGTGCATTGCAGTCATCTGCATGGTCTGGACACTGTCAGTTGCTATGGCCTTTCCACCAGTCTTCGATGTAGGCACCTACAAATTCATTCGTGAAGAGGACCAGTGCATTTTTGAGCATCGATACTTTAAGGCCAATGATACCCTCGGATTTATGCTGATGCTAGCAGTTCTCATTGTTGCTACGCATATTGTCTATGCTAAACTTCTCCTTTTTGAGTACCGCCATCGTAAAATGAAGCCAGTACAGATGGTCCCAGCCATCAGCCAAAACTGGACATTTCATGGCCCTGGGGCTACAGGGCAGGCCGCTGCCAACTGGATAGCTGGATTTGGAAGGGGGCCTATGCCACCCACTTTATTGGGTATTCGTCAAAATACCCACACTGCCAACAGGCGTCTTTTGGGAATGGATGAGTTCAAAAGTGAGAAGAGGTTGGGGCGGATGTTTTATGGGATTACCCTCAGCTTTTTGGTGCTCTGGTCGCCCTACATTGTGGCCTGTTATTGGAGGGTTTTTGTCAAAACCTGCAGCATCCCCCATCGATACCTGTCCACTGCAGTTTGGATGACATTCACTCAGGCTGGGGTCAACCCCATCATGTGTTTTCTTCTCAACAAAGACCTGAAGAGCTGCCTTCAGCTCCACATCCCCTGCTGGAGGACGAAAGCATTGCTACCTAGGGAGCCTTACTGCGTAATGTAAGAGGGGACAACAATACTCCCAAACCACACCCTAACCTCAGTGATCGGGACAAATGGACATACTCTTTGAGGAATTGGTCTGTTTGACTATTTCACAGTCATGAAGACGCACACAAAATAACAATAGAAATCTGAAAAGACTTTTTTTTAAATGTTCCTTTTTTCTAGACCAAGATGTATTTGTGATCCAGACAAAATGAGGACTTCAGGGGAGGGGATATGTGTGCGAGAATTTCTGGGATGTTTTTCTATTTCACCTATTGCAAAGGGAAGAAGGGTGATGGATGGGTGGTGGGAGGAGATGAAGGGAATGCAAAGTGTATTAGGTGGGAGGGAAAGGGAAGGATTGATGGGAATTTATGTATTTGTTAATGAACTTATTTATTGACATGGTTATAATGCCAACCACTTGTATGAACGTCTTTTGACTGACATGAATGTAAGAGAAATCGTTTTCTATTGCATTAGTACGTTCGCAAGATGTGACTATCAAGCGTGAGGAAAAAAAAATGAAATATGGTCATCGGAAACTAATGAATTTTAAATGCTGTTTGAAGTACTCAAAACAAGTTTTCAAATATTTACACAATGTAGAATTTTTACCCATGCTAAGTGAAAAGCCACAAGAGGAAACACAGATCAAAAGGCCCAATACCAGCAGGTGGAGAAAACCCCTTGGCAAAAAAGAAAATCATCACATAGTTTAAATATACAAAGTACCACGTTCAGGAACCAATTTTAAGCCTGATAATCAAAAACATAGATGCCTTATGTCTGCTTCATTGCTTAAGTGCAAATAATTTTAGCCATGACTGGTAAATCCACCATATACACCTTCCAATGTCAATACTCCTGTTAGCTTAAAGGAACAATCCAAGCACCATAACAATTACAGTGCACTTTTGTGGTTATGGTGCTACGAGAGCCCTGCCCCCAACTATGCAAGTAGTCAAACCAGTGCGCTCCTGGCACCATAACTAATGCTGTAGTGGTTATGCTGCTTGGAGTGTCCCTTTACCAGCGTTGGATGTAAAGCAAAATTGTTATGAAAAAAAGGGCTAATCGGCACTGCCGAGCAAAGTAAAAATTGGATTAAGTGAAAGGGTGAAAAGGTGAAACAGTTCATGAACTACTTCGAGGTCATCAGTGAGAAGGAAACCTTGAAGGCAAAACATGTGCTATTCTAGGGCAAAGTGCTAAATGGTGAAGGACATTCCATTGGTTCCCACGTAGGGCTGGCATTTGCTTCAGGTCAATTTGGCGGCCGCCTAGGGTGCTTCTGAAGGCTCATTTGGGCTGTCCCTCTATCAAGTGTGACTATATATGTAGTGTGTGTCAAAGGCCATGGTACTGGGAGCTAAGTAACCCTTACATGGCTGCTAACTAGGGCCCGGCATCCACCTCAGTCTGCAAAGTAATTTACTTAGACCCAGGTCCCTCTCCAAGACATCTATGGCGACAGCGCAAAAGCGCATCATTCACTCGCTTCCGCCTCTTGCCCTGTACTTGGGGACATGTAGGCGAGAGGATAGCAGGAAGTGGGGCTGAGACAGGGAGTATAATGGTCCGCCAGACTGCCAGGCACAGTCAAGATGACTGGAGCACATGGATAGCCAACTGATATATGAAATGAATTCAAGAGGGTTAATGGGACCTCACAGTGTGTGTTTTAGAGAATGTATGTCAGTCTGCTTCAGTCAGTATGTTTGTGTCTGCTTGAGTCAGTGTGTGTCAGTCTGCATGGGTCAGTGTGTGTCTGCTTGAGCCAGTGTGTGTCTGCTTGTGTCAGTCTGCATGGGTCAGTGTGTGTCTGCTTCAGTCAGTTTGTGTGTGTCTGCATGGGTCTGTTTGTGTGTATCTGCTTGAGTCAGTGTGTGTATCTGCTTGGGTCAGTGTGTGTGTGCCTGCATAAGTACAAGAATTTATGTGTGCCTAGGGCACTGATTGTACGAGTGTGTGGATTGATTGTGAGTGAATGAGTAAGTAAGTTTGTGCATGCGTAAGTGAATGTGTGTCAGTGATTGCATTTTTGCACAAAGGACAGTTTTCATTTTTATTTTTTTTAAATCCATTTTTAAAGGTACACTATAGTGTTAGGTATATAAACCGGTATTTCGAATACTATAGTTTCTCTGTCCCTAGCAATGATTTACCTTGTGGGGTTAAACCTACAGGACAACAGCACCAAAACCACATCATTGAAATGAGGTGGACTGGGAGAGTCTGGTGGTCCTTTAAATCATAAGAGATTATTATACATATGGTTACCAGATCCACCATGTTGTCAGGGACACATATCACATACATATTGATGGGCAACACATAAAAAGGGTTGCCCTGTAGTATGTAGAATTCAGAAGAAGGTGTATAAGATAAAGTAATTAGGGAATTAAGTATCCTGCAGAACATGCATTATACATACTGCAGGGCACCCTTTTCATGGTAACCCTAATTATACATGTATATTAATATATGTGTATTATAATAATATTTACTGTGTACATATATATAAGCAGAAAATAAATCATACATAAAAGTTACTATAACACACATGTACAAGGATAAAACTGATGTACTATGCCAGTGATAGACTGAGAGTGTGAGACTATCACTGAACACCTGGCTAAACCTTCTTTATCCTGTTGTTGTTATAGTGCTTGGAGTGTTCCTGTAATGAAATGTACAGTTTGAACTATGCTTTAACAGGGTTATTCACCAAAGTGAAAATTGCTGGGAATTCAAAAGGGAATTCGAGGGAATTTAAGAAGGCAAATATAGCCAAATTGTTAAAACAAATCTCTAATTCAGCCATGTTTGCCATTTGGCTATTTTTACCTAAATATGAAATTCACTTTGAATTCCTGACAATTCTATGTGATGTCATGAGATGGGCAGATCAGATGAGTTGGGCACTGTGGTGGCACGCCATGGGTGGAGTGAATGGGGTAGCAAAATAATTTCTTTCCATGGCAAATGCTACTTTTAGTGCTTTGCTCCAGAATAGCACCTGGTTTTTTTTCTTGATAAATTCCCCTTATATTGTGTAAAAATAATTCTGTATGTTTTTACTAGAAAATGTACCAATCACAAAATAACTGAAAGGGTAGAACAAGGTAGCAAATAAAATCTTGTATATATATATTGTGCTAGCCAAATCGAGATGTTGGGGAGAGACTAAACAACTAATCATGTGATGATTGGGGGTATTTTCTGGGTTCAAAGCACTCAGACACACTTTGTGTGCTCTAACTGGATATCTGATGTTGTTCATTGTTTTGCATTGAGCAGTCAGATCCCTAAAAGATAGGCCTGCGTATTGTTCTGCCTTGTAGATCTGTCATTGGGTACAACACAGGGAAAGAGATTGATCTCTTTAAGTGGTATTTGTTTCCCACATATATATCTATATGTTTATGGTATTGAATAGTTAAAAACATCTATTTGGGTCAAGGGTTAAATACAGTTAAATTGGCAGATACCAAGAGTCAAATTCTGGGTAGAGTCCACATTGGTATAAATTCAACTCTACTCTAACACAAAGTCCAGAGAAAATGTATAGGTATTTGAAGGTCATCTTGTCGTCCATATATTTTGTGGATAAAAGGCCTGCTTCAAGGGAAAAAACTGCTTGGAGAAGCCGATTGCCGCTAGGACAGGGAGACCTGGTGCTGGAGAGCAATCTTAAGGTAAGAAGCCTCTGAGCACCATAACTACTTAACGGTTCCTACACAGTTCCTTTAAGATATGGGATCTATTTTCCTCTGGGTTGCTCACATCTAAAAACTGGAATCACTAATACAATCATTTATTTGAGCACAGGCTCATCTAAAGGTATGTGTAGTGCATGATAAGTTTCTCTTATTACTGGGTTATACAAATGTATACACAAAAGGCAACTACAGGGGCTTGCTTGAATATTGTAGGAGCCATGAAAAGAATCCTCTTAGAAGTCAATGTGAAACAGCACAAGATGTTTAAATTAGAGATAACTAAAAATTTAGAGATCACGGATAATTCAGTCCTTAGATCTGCTCAAACCTAGTATAAGAGGTCTATTGATGGCTGAAGATCGGATCAAGTTGTGGGGGTAAAAACTAAACTCATCACGTAGATTAAAAAGTACACGCTGTTCTTTAAAAAGAGGATAAGTTCATTTTATAACCATCCTCTGCTTCGAGTGAAATGTTTATTATAACGTTCAATGGCTCTTAAACTAAATTACTTCCTTTCTTTAAGAGTCACTATTTCAATATTTTTTGTTTATTGAGGAGAGTGAAATACTGCAATACAAAATATGAATAATATTGCACAATATGTTACAATTCAACAAAGTATACAAGGAATAAGCAGCCAATTTTTTTGAAATAGGAAACATGAGTACAATGCATCTAGTATGTGGAGCCTAAGATCAGTGAATTAAGAGTTATCGTTAACTATTATAAAATCGCATTATTGATGCACATATAATAGTAACGGTTTTAAAGTCTCAACAGGATACAATATAAACAAAAAAAAAGAAGACATAAATAAATAGGACACTGCATGTAGAGACATAAGATAGCTTGAGTGTGCATAGGAAATAAAAAAATCAAAAAGAGAAAGACTTTGTTCAAATTTATACGCGAAAGGCACACATACAGGAGGATAAGTCCCATCATAAAAGTTGAAAGCAGGCACACTTAGAACCCCCATACATCTATCCAGTGGCGTACACATGACCCATGGGGCCCCGGTGCGAAAATTGATCCGTGGGCCCCCCCCGCGCGCGCGCGCGGGCCGGGCCGCAACACATGGCGGTGGGCACCTGGTCGCAGAGGTTACAGGGCTGCGACCGCGGTATGTACGCCAGTGCATGCAGATGCACACACACTTAAAGGACCACTCTAGGCACCCAGACCACTTCAACTTAATGAAGTGGTCTGGGTGCCAGGTCCAGCTAGGGTTAACCCATTTTTTCATAAACATAGCAGTTTCAGAGAAACTGCTATGTTTATGAATGGGTTAAGCCTTCCCCTATTTCCTCTAGGGCGTCTCACTGCTAGAGGCGCTTGCGTGCTTCTCACTGTGATTTTCACAGTGAGAGCACGCCAGCGTCCATAGGAAAGCATTATGAATGCTTTCCTATGTGACTGGCTGAATGCAAGCAGCTCTTGCCGTAGCGTGCGCCAACCCGACGGGGAGGAGAAGAGGAGGATCGGAGGAGGAGAGCTCTCCGCCCAGCGCTGGAAAAAGGTAAGTTTTACCCCTTTTCCCCTTTCCAGAGCTGGGCGGGAGGGGGCCCCTGAGGGTTTAAAGGACCACTACAGACACCCAGATCACATCAGCTCAATGAAGTTGTCTGGGTGTCAGGTCCCTCTAGTTTTAACCCTGCAGCTGAAAACATAGCAGTTTCAGAGAAACTGCTATGTTTCACTGAGGGTTAATCCAGCCTCTAGTGGCTGTCTCACTGACAGCCGCTAGTGGAGCACACCGAACGTCCATAGGAAAGCATTGAGTAATGCTTTCCTATGAGCGGTTTGAATGCGTACGCTGAGGCTGAGGGATCCCCAGCGCCAAGGGAGTCCGGCGCTGGAGAAAGGTAAGTGCTGAAGACACACACACACACACATACACACACTTACAGACGCATACACACTAGCTAACAGACACACATTTATTGACAGAGACACAGTCAGCGACAGACATACATACACACTCACTTACAAAACATACTCTCATTGACAAACACACACTCACTAACATACATCAAACAGACTCACTAACACACACACTCAGTAAGACATACACAGTAACACACTCACTGACACTCACTAGCAGACACACTCACTAGCAGACACACTCACTAGCAGACACACACACTAGCAGACACACACTAACACTCACACACACTCACACTGACACACACACTCACTCACACTCACACACACTAACACTCACTAGCAGACACACACACTAACACTCACACACACTAACATTCACACTCACACTAACACTCACTAGCAGGCACACACACTAACACTCACACTAACACTGACACACACACTAACACTCACACTGACACACACACTAACACTCACTAGCAGACACACACACTAACACTCACACACACTAACTAGCAGACACACACACTAACACTCACACTCAAATACTAACACTAGTTGTTTTTTTTTTTAAATGTAATCCCCCCAGCCTCCTTACCTTTTGGAGTGCTGGGGGGATTCCCTGGGGTCCAGTGGTGCTGCTGATACCTGGCAGGCGGGTGGCCGGTCGGGCAGGCAGGCGGGCGCGCGAGGGAGCACTTTGTGCTTCCTCTTCAGCTCCCTCGCGCACCGCACTGATACCGGAGCCGGAAGATGACGTCATCTTCCGGCTCCGGCATCCCTGCGCGGCGCGCGAGGGAGCTGAAGAGGAAGCACAAAGTGCTCCCTCGCGCGCCCGCCTGCCTGCCAGGTATCAGCAGGGCCAGCCTCGGGGTCGGCTCCTGGGCCCCCCAGGGGAAGAGGCTGGCCCTGGGCGTACATACCGGGTCGCAGGGGCGGCCGGGCCCCCTGGTGGGCCGGGCCCGGTCGCAGCCGCGACCCCTGCGACCCTGGTATGTACGCCACTGCATCTATCCAATTCCCAATCTGAAGATCAGCTGCCTGTATCACCTAATAGGAGAAAGCCTATAGCACCATTGTTCCTTTCGGCTTGGAAATATCATCACTTACTGGATGTTACTTACCTAAATGAATTGATAAGCATAATAATGGTTATGGGAGAATGGTACTTTTGAATAATACATTCCTTAATGTGACATTGCCTACAGGAAGCAGGACAAGGTATGTCTTCTATGGGACACATATACTATTTAATGCTGTAGGCCAGGGTTAGGCAACATTCGGCACCCCAGATGTTGTGGACTACATCCCCCATAATGCTCTTACACCCATAATGCCGGCAAAGCATCAAGGGATGTGTAGTCCAAAATATCTTGAGTGCCGAAGGTTACCTATGCCTGCTGTAGGCCTTATTTTACTAAGTGTAACTATACCTTATATATAGTTATTATATTTTCATTAATTACATTTAGCTTGTGACTTCATACACACCCATGTCAGTAGAGTAAACAAGTATCATGCTGCTTTTGGACTGACTTGTTTACTCCCTATAAAAATTATTACTACAAGCTCACCAGCCTTCTTCCGGTTTATGTCCGTTGTAAGTTGGGTTTCATCTCCTCTGTTCAGGATGTTCTTGCTGCAGTGCTTCACATATCAAGAGGTCTCGAGAAGATCTATACTATTTGGGAATCTGTGACGATCTTAAAGGAACACTAAAGAAACCAAAACAACTTTATCTTAATGAATCAGATTTGGTGTTGATATAATGCCCCGGCAGTCTCACTGCTCAATTCTCTGCCACTTAGGAGTTAAATGACTTGCTTTACACAACCCTAGTCACACCTCCCTGCATTTGACTTGCACAGCCTTCCTAAACACTTTTTGTATAGAGAGATCTAATGTTTATACGTTCTTTGTTGCAAATTCTATTTAAGTTAGAATTTAAATGTCCGAATGTCCGAATTGCTGAATTTCCAAAGTGCAGAACCGAATTGCTGAATTACGGAATTGCCGAAGTACCGAATTTCGGAAGTGCTGAACCGAATTGCCGAATTTCGGAAGTGTCAAAGTGCTTTGGATTTCTGAAAAGTGGCATAACAAGAGAGGGAGGGAAAATTACGTGAATGATGACAGGAATCTAGACCAATAAGCTAATTCCTGGCACTGAGAGTCCCATATATGTGTAAGTGGTTGTGGTGGCAGTCCGGGCACCTAACCCTACCTCTGTATGTGTAAGTGATTGTGGTGGTTAGGGTTAGGGGTTAGGGAGCCCTACAGATGTGTAAGTGGTTGTGGTGGCAAGAGAGCGATGCTTACGAATGTCCAAAGTCCCAAATTGCCAAAGTCCCGAATTTCGGAAGTGCCGAACCTAACCAATTTTTTTGCCCCTAGAGCTCAATAATCAGAAACAAAAGTAATTAACTCCTAGATGCAAAGAACTGAGCAGTGAACTGGAGGGTCATGATCTATACACAAAAACTGTAGTATCACTTTACACTCAAGATGCTTGTGTTTAAAATGGTAATGGTAATGCAATATGGTAATCTGTTACCGTCACAAAGAGGGAAAATAACACGGATTGTTTTTATTCATTTATTTTTTATGATCACCGTCCTTTGCAAAGCTTGTACAAAATCTACAGTCATAGTGTTTATGGTGGATACCTTGAAAGGGAAACTTCCCTGGAATTTTTAATATCATGTTTATTTATACCCTACATTTAGTAAATACGTATTTGTGAGGTGTGAAAAACCACAGCAATCTATGTAAAGAAAGCAGAAACGGAGAACTTATACAATATTTCTACTCATTCACCTCAATGTGGCTGTGCTTGGACTCAGCTGGGTTATGATGTCAATCCATTGTACAGCTCTACGGAATTTGTTGGCGCTATATAAATAATAAAATAATAATAATAATTGCTAAATCTTTAATATAAATTTAAAGGAAAACAAAGCATCAAATTATTATTTTTACCATTTTAAAAAAAAAATTTTACTGGCCTTTTTCAGTGTTCTATTCAGTGGTATGGTTGACAGAGATGGTTCCTCTTTAATATTCCAAATCAACATCACTCAACTCTAAAGCTCTAATCCCATGTCAAAAGTGTCCCTGGCCTGTCACTCACTCAGATAAGGCCTTATTACCCTGTATCTGTCAGACCCCCCCACTGTGCAGGTGACCTTGAACACAACATACCCTTTTATTAGTGTAGGGCCATTTAACATGCTTGGGAAGCACAACACAAAGGGCTGAAATAACAGAAAGGTACTACAAGATAAGATAATTATCAGCTTCCAACATTAGCCACCCCAAACCCAAAAACAAACACACATATAAACACAAGACTATAAATGCAATTCTTTAAAATGTTTCCTTAAACACCCATTAAGGAAATGAATATATAACAGAGGGGAGGAATTATTTTTCCATTAATTTTAGTTTAAAGAGTAACTGTCACTTAACAGGATTTTTCTTATGTTTACTTATCCCTCACATTAAACTAATATTTGTTTGCGAGATGCGAAAATTAAAACAAAAAACATTTAATGTAGAAATCCACACCTGTTTATAATGCACCTCGGTGCCTCCATCTTAGCTTCCTGACAATCATTGTTATAAGTTCTGTCCTTTGAACCTGGAATTGAAGAAGGCACACAAAAAAGAGGAGAATGACTATTATCCTAGTTGTCCTCTTCATTTGCATTGTTTGCCCTGGCATTCTTTGTCTTAACTGGATTATGATATCATTTGCTAAATCTTTAATATGAGTTTAAAAGAATATGGAGCATCTCATGAAATATAAGGTTTTTTTTTTTTTTTATAAATTCTTTATTTTCGGTTTTGCATAAGTATTGTTACTAACAATAAGACAACATGTTGGTACATCGTTTACAGTAGTTCTCATAACAATTTCGCTTCATTGTCCGTGGATTTAGTAGTGCGGGCTACTAGTTGAGTGCGGCTCTGGGTGTATCTCGTGTCCAACATGTATGTCCCTTTTCGTTGTTTTGTGTTAGGTAGGGGTAAACTGGGGTGTGAGGTCAATGGGTCTGTCGGGTGGGAAAGGAGGGGGGTGTGTAGTTGGTTCTCCTGCTCTTTGGCCTCCTCTTCGTTGGTGGTTGCGTGTACATATCCAGTTGGGTTCGGGAGGGGGCTCGGCTGAGCCGTGGAGGGGGGGATGGTTTCAGTGGTGGGTATAGGGTACCTAAGATAGGCTTCGCTGTCGTTGGTAGTGTGGGAGTCAGGGGACGAGGTGGTTCCTCTGTGCGTGCTCGCCCTATCTGTGTCAGTATATTGTCAGTTGGCCGGGGTTGGTGATGGGGGCCGAGCGTTCTTGGTGTGGCGTCCTATCCTCGGTTGGGTTGGTGTCGTTCTGTGGGGCCGCTTAAGTCAGTGTCGTGTTAGGCTTATGGACTTGTCTCTAAGCTGGTTTTCGTTTCAGGAAAGTGGTGCCTCTTTGGTCCGTTCGGTCCACGAGGCTGTGTTGGTCCGAGGGTTAGGGTCAGGGGGTTGGTGTGTTTTAGGTGTCGTCGTACTCCCCCCGCTGCCGGTCACTCCTCCTCCTCCGGTGTCTAGGGGGGTTCGGGTCAGGAGGTCTCATGTCTTGTCTTGTCTCGTCTCCCCCCGGGCGTCCCCTCGCGCCCCCCGGCTCCCCCGCTGGGCGGGGGTTTGTAGTGAGGTAGGGTGTTGGGGGACTGGCGGCACTGGTAGGGGGGGTATAGGGAGGTGCGGGTGTCTCTCGGTTAAGCTGGGGCATGCTTCCCTAACGGGTCTACGGGTTGTTGGGGTGAAGGGACGTGCGATGACTGTCGCTAAAGGGTGTGGTTAGGTCGCTTCGGGTGTGGGTTGTGGCAGGTGATTCATGTCCCAGAGGTCCCAGGTTTTATGAAACGCTTTGTAGGAGTCGTGTATCTGAGCGGTTAGTTCGTCCAGATCTCTGGTTTCTTTGATCTTGTTGATGATGGTGGGGGTTGTAGGGGTGCGGTGGTCTGCCCATCTCTCCGCAATTGCCCTACGAGTTGCCAATGTTATTCTGGCGGCTAGTTTGTTTTCGCTTCTTGTAAGGGAGTCTAGTGGTTTGTTAAGTAGCATCGTCCACGGTTGCGCTGTGTAGGGCTTGTCAAGGATCTGTGCTATGAGGTTGCTAATTTCAGTCCATAGTGGTTTGATTTTAGGACAATTCCACCAACAGTGCAAGTAGGTGCCTTTTTCGCCGCACAGTCTCCAGCATAAGTTGTCGGGTTTCTGGCCCATTCTGTGGAGCCTGTGCGGCGTCAAGTACCAGCGGAACAGTGTTTTGTACGCCTGTTCTTTGTGAGTTATACACACCGTCAGGGAGTTTGTTGCTTCCCAGATTGCTGTCCAGTCGCTCGAGTCTTCTGGCGGCCCAAGGTCCCGCTCCCAGGCCGTGATGTAGGTGAGGGTAACGTTGGAGATGTGCGTCGTTAGTGTGGTGTATAATCCTGAGATTTGTCCCGAACCTAGTGGTGCGTCGAAGCACCTCTTCTCAAATGGCGTTGGGGGTGCTGTCCCCGCTTGTTTGATCATTGGCTGCTTGGCTAGGTCCCTAAGCTGTATGTAGCGAAAGTAGTCTGCGGTGGTTAGTGTTTCGCTATTTGGGAGGTCCTTGTAGTCAATGATCTCGCCTTGATGGTATAGGTAGAGTAGTCTGGATATGTCTCTTTGGTCAAATGCTTGGAAGTGTTTTGCTACCAGTCCAGGGGGGAAGAGTTTATTTCGGTAGATAGGCGTCACCGGAGATATGAAGGAGGATAGTTCGTATTTGGGATTGAGTTTGTCCCATAGAGCCAGCGTGTGGGTGATCGCCGGTGAGGTGGTTGGAGGGAGGGGCCGATGTGCCGGAGGCACCCACATGTAGGACGATGGCTGGTCCCATCCCATGATGTCGTGTTCCAGGTCTACCCATCGTTTGGCACTCGGGGGGCGTGCCATTGTTGTATGTGGGCCAGTTGGGCTGCGTTGTAGTATTGCTGGAAGTTGGGTAGTCCCAGGCCTCCGCTGGTCTTGGGGACGTACATAGTTGCCCTGCGGATGCGTGGTTTTTTACCCTTCCATATGAATTTGTCAATGGCGGCCTGGAGATCACAGAAATCTTTTTTCCGTATGGGGATGGGTAACGTTTGAAAAAGATATAGGAAGCGTGGCAGCAAGTTCATCTTGACGGTTGTAACTCTACCCAGCCACGAGATCCCTAACTTGTCCCAGCGCTGGAGGTCCTGGTGAGCTGTTGTCAGCAATGGTTTGTAGTTGAGGTCGTACGTGTCATCCAATTTTTGGGGCAATCTGGTGCCCAAGTAGGTGAGGTGTGTCGTGGTGACTTTGAATGGAAACGAGTGCCGCAAGAGGTGGAGTTGTTGTGCGTTCATTGCCACGGGCATGAGGATGGACTTTGTCAGATTGAGTTTGTACCCTGAGAAGTTGGAGTACTCGGATATCACCTCCAAAGTGGCGTGTAAGGATGGGAGCGGGTCCGCTAAGGTTAGGAGGACGTCGTCCGCATACTCTTCCCGTCTGATGCGGATGCCTCTGATCTCTGGGTGATTGCGTATGGCCTGCAGGAGTGGTTCTAGCGAGATTGCAAATATTAGGGGGGACAGGGGGCAGCCCTGTCTAGTTCCATTCGTGATGGTAAAGGTTTGGGCTTCGATGTTGGGTAGGAGCAGTCTGCCCGTAGGACGGTTGTAAATTGCCGCCAAAGCATTCAGAAATCCAGTCGGGAATTCCAGGTGGGATAGGATGTGGAACATGTATGGCCAGAGAAGGCGGTCGAATGCCTTCTCGGCATCCAGCGAAAGCATTACTGCCGGAATGTTCCGGTGTTGGGTATACCAGATTGTGTTAAAGGCTCTCCGTGTATTATCCGATGCCTGTCGTTTTGGGATGAACCCGACCTGGTCTGGGTGGATCAGCTGGGGGAGGTAGTCATTGAGGCGGTTGGCCAGTGCTTTTTTCAAATCCGTATTCAGAAGTGAAATGGGCCGATAGTGGCCTGGTTCCAGGTGGTCCTTGCCTGGTTTAGGCAGGAGGCATATGTCGGCTGCGAGCATGTCCGGGGGGAGAAGTTGTCCCTGGAGTATGGAGTTGAAAGTTTTGCACAGGTGCGGTAGGAGTGTCGCCTGGAACGTTTTGTAGTAGAGGGCGGTAAAACCGTCGGGTCCTGGACTCTTCATTGGTTTTAGCGTTTTGAGCACTAGTGCAAGTTCTTCGCCCTCTATGGGTGACTCAAGCCGTGCTTGTGCCTGTGCGGGTAACATGGGCAGATTAAGTGATTGTAGGAAGGAGGAGATTCTGTCCTTTTGGGACGTGTCCCCTGTTGGCGGCGGTGGGTCGGAGTGGTTGTAGAGGTTTGTATAATATTGTAGGAATTCCTGGGCTATTATGTCCGGGTTGTTCGTGATCTCCCCTCTGCTGGTTTTGATCTTGGTAATTCTTTTGTTGTCCTGTCGTTTTTTAAGGCAGTGTGCCAGGAGGGAGTCCGCCTTGTTCCCTTTTTCGTAAAAGCGTTGTTTAGTCCACATGAGGTTCCGCGCTACATCCGCCGTGGAGAGTCGCCGAAGATGTTCTCGTGTGGCGGCGAGCTGCTTGAGTAGGTCGTCTGAGGGGTTCTGCTTGTGTAGCTTTTCCAGTTTCGTTAGGTCAGCTAGCGCTTCCGTGAGGTCTTGGAGACGGCGTTTCTTCTGGGCTGTGGCGATTGCGATCAGTTGGCCTCGGATGGTCACTTTGTGAGCTGCCCACACCGTCGCCGGGGCCATGTCCTCCGTGGCATTTATGTCGAAATAGGTTTTGAGGTGGTCGGTTATAGCGTGTACCGTTCCTTTGTCTCGGAGGATCCATGGGTTGAGGCGCCAACGCCATGGACGGGAGAGCCGCGGGATCCTGAGGTCCAGTGTGATTTCCGCATGGTCCGACCACGTGATGTTGCCGATGGACGAGCGGATCGTCCAGGGGTGGAGTGCTTGGGAGATTAAGAAGCTGTCTATGCGCGAGTATGACCGGTGCGTGTGGGAGTAGTAGGTGAAGTCTTGGTCTGCTGGGTGTTGGGCCCTCCAGATGTCCAGAAGTGTCGTCCCCCCGAGGAAGGTTGCGTATAGCTTATCATTCCTGTTTGGTGCTGGCGCCCTGTCCCCGTAGGCTCTCCGATCCATGGTGGGTGAGTGTGTCGCGTTTAGGTCTCCTCCTATAATTAGGTATTGGTTAGAGACGCCGTCGAGGTGGGCCTTGAAGGTGTTCCAGAAATTGGTGTCAGGTATCGTTGGCGCATAGAGGGAGCAGATTGTGAGTGGGGTTGTGCCCACGTGTCCCGTGAGGATCAGGTATCTCCCGTCGGGGTCTTGAATTGTGCGTATGTCTTCGAGTGGGCAGGAGTTGCGTAGGAGGATTGCCACTCCTTTTTTCTTTGGGTCCGGGGAGTTGGCTAGGAAGTGTCGTTTAAAGTGCCTATTGGTCAAGGGAAAGCTTTTCTGGTCTGTGAAGTGGGTTTCTTGGAGCAGGATTATATCCGCCCCTGTGCGGTTGGCCCAGCGGAGTAGCCCATGTCTCTTCCCTGGAGAGTTCAACCCCTTCACGTTGAGGGAGGTTAAGCGAGTTTTCACATGCGGTGGGTTCATGGCGTGCCTGACCCTGGGGGTATTGGGCGGGTGGGTGGGTGGAAGGTCCGGGGGGACAGTCACGGAGGGTGTGGTGGGGAATAACTGGGCTTATCGATCTGGCCAGTCGTCTGGTCGGCGGGAGGGCTCGGTCTCCTATCCTTGTAGTGGGATTGGAAGTCACAAGTCCCTAGGGAGGTGGGTGGCAGGTCGTGGCAGGTCCTGCCTTCAGCCTGCCTGTTCCGCGGTTATGTTGGCTGAGCACCCGATGGGGGGGGCAGGGAGAGGGGGGGGGAGGGCACGTGTGTGAGAGTGTACGGCTTTTGTTTGCGTCGGTCACTCTGCATCCATCCCGCTATCTTGGGGGGGTGCAGGTGCCTTGTGTGGTAGCATGGTACGTGGGGGCTGGTTATACAACCTCTGCATAAGTGTGTACATGTTTAACTTGGCAACTATTCAACCTCATATGCAAAACATCAATATAACATCAGAAAGAAATGCATTTTCATTACATTCGTGTCATTTACAAAAAGCTTAACGTGGTATCTATACATGTTGAG